AACAATAGCAATGGCAATATCAAATAGCAATAGCAATAGCTATAGTAAATGGTAGTCCGGATAGGTTTAATATAAATAGTTTACCTCAAACAATACCAACACCAATCCTAAATAAACCAAATTTAGACTCTCAATCTATTCATGTTCAACCATTAAAAATTTCATTCAGTATCCCCACCTCAATTACCCCCAACAGCAATTAAAATTACAAATTCAAGCTAGAAATGAAACCATTTTAAATAATGATATAAACCATTTACAAAAAAGAATTATGATTTAACAAGTGAACAAATTAAACAATTAAAATTAATTATTAAATCAACACCAAAAATTCAAAGTAAAAAATGGGCAATGGTTAATCAAATTTGGTATAGTAAATGGGAAAAAGGAATATATACTAGGGATGAATTAGGTTCAATATCAAACCATCATTTATTAGAAGTTTGCGAAGATGTTAATCAATTGTTAAGAAGTGATATAAAAGAGAACCAAGATTTCGTTGTGGTACCATTGGAAGTTTGGAATACATTCAAAGAGGTTTACGGTGGTTCTCCAGATATTATTAGAAAGGTTACCGATAAATCTAACTTGGATTTACAAATTCCCATAACCTTATTTTTCATTAAATCTTCTGATGTTCAGCATTGTTTAAATATCACCAAAAGCCATGCATTTCAAAATGAAACTTTTTATGCTTTAAAAAAGGTATGTTATTTTTTTTAAATGATAAATATTTATAATTTTTATTAACAAAAAAAAAAATTTATAGAGGGTATGCAAACTTTTTCACCTAGCACTAAATGATGTTGAGTTATTTAATTTTGATGGTGGAACTACAAAAGGTCAAGCTCTTCATTCTTTCTTAAAAATTGAAACCATTAAATTATATAATAACCAAATGGTAAGGAAAGATAGCGATTTTATAATAATTAATTAATATTAATTTTCCATTTAATATACAATAGGTTTTAGTCGAGGAAAAGCAATTCCCTTTAGATATACCAGAACCAACATACACCCATAAACCAAATAAAAACAATAACAATAACAATAATAGTAATAGTAATAGTAACAATAATAATAATACCAATAACAATAATAGTAATACAAATAAAAGTTTAGCAATCGACTTTAACGACCCAAAAATTTTAGAAATGATTCCAAAGAAAACAGATTATTCCCCATTATTCAAACATGAACCAACATCATATATCACCGATAAAGGAGAAAAGTTTTTTTCAATTAAAGGGTTACCTTTTTATTTTCCGTAATTATACACAAACACCATTTACTCTATCATTTCCTTTGATTATACCTTTTATTAACATATAATAATTTATTAATAACAATTTAGAGTTTATACAAATCCATTTAGCTTATCTTTATTAAACCATTCATTTTTTATGAATAGTTTTAATTATAACCCAGAATCGATTTTAAATAGTAATGAATATCTTCAATATGAAAATATTCAAAATAATTTTAATTCAAATTTAGATCAAATTCAATCTTTTTCTTTTAGTGGCAGCATTGAAAATAATAGTAATGGTGATAATGGCCAACACAATAACAATAGTGATAAAAAAAGCAGTATCGCCTCAATTAATAATTACAATGGTATTAATAGTACTCGTGTTATTAATAGTAGTGAAGAAATTGTTAGCCCACCCCTTTACGATTTATCTTTATGTAATGAACCTCCACCTCCTTTAGATTTGGAAGACCAAAGAAAAAAATCTCAAAAGAGACCACCAGTTTGTAAAGTCCAATAGATTAAAAGCGATTTGATACAATTTAGAAAAAATAAAACAAATTTTATTTTTTAAAATTTATTTATATACAAGTTGTATTATAAATAAGATTCTAAAATATATTACCTCAATTCAAATCATCTTTTTATTTAATAAAAAGTTTATTCACATTAATTTTTAAAGAAAGAAAATAAAAAATAATTAAATATAATAAAAAAAAAAGTTTTTAAAAAATAAGTTATTTTCTGTATATTTCATTTTAATTGAATAAAAAATAGAGAATTTACACAATGATTTATATTAGACTATACTGGGCCAAAAATATATAGAAAATACTGTATAAATTTCCTAACAATCCAAAAATTATTTTAAAAATAAGCTCTAATCTACTCGTATTTTATGTATTTTTAAGTCTATTCCCCTTTTTTTAAAAAAATTTTTATATTTTATTTTTTTTTTTTTTCCTTTGTTAATGGTGAATTAAAATTTTTTTTTTTAAATTATTAAAGAATTTTTTTTATCTTTTTTTTTTTTGTTGACAAATAATAATGAATTTAAATGTTTTTTTATTATTCATTTTTTTATTTTTAGTTAATAATAGTTTTGTATATTCATCACAGGATGAAGATTGCTTAAAAGTATTATTGACCAAATTATTTAATATTAAAGATGTTAAATTATGTGACAACTTTATAGATACTTCATATTATCGTGGTAGCTGTTATAGAGATACAAATACTCTCCAAAGTTTGTACGTTTAATATATATTTCTATTTTTATTTTATAGAATATAATATTAACTTTTTTTTTCAAATTTAGGACTCTCAATGGGGATTCACAAAATCCCAATAGTAATCTATTCATGCCATCTTTGGTATATAGCGATCTAAGCTGTTTTGAAAATCTAGATATTTTGTAGCGATAGTTAAAATAAATAATAATATAAGAAAATTTAATATTAATATTTTTTTTTATAATAGAATTTTAGAATTTATGGCAATAAAAAAAGATGCATTTGGAGCAAATGATCAAAAAAATGTAGCAAATTCAATTTATTTAACCTCATGTTTTTTTAATGATGGAAGAATAGTATCAGAAAATTCTTTTTTGCCCAAAGGTATAAACAGTTTAACTATTTATTTAAATTCATTTTCAAATTTTAATGAATTAGGTTTTAGATCTATTAAAAACCTAAAAAATATGTAATTATTTTTAAAAATAAAATTTAAGACAATATAAACAAATATTAATATTTTATTCATAATTAATGTAGATATATTGACTATGTTTTAAATTTAGACTCAGAATTAAATACATACCCTAAATATATAAATGATTTGCAAGGTATAGAAAGCAATTTTGAAAATTTGTAAGTATTTTCTTCACAATAAAATTAAAAAATACATATATTAATTTTTCCTTTATTAGCTATATAGTTTCAAATGAAGTCCCAAATTTTACCGATCTAAAGGTATCCTATTTCTATTTAACTATTGTAGGGGATTTATATTTACCATCAATTCATAATTTTGGTTCTCTAAATCAAATTGAAAATTTTACTTTTTCATATAATGGGGAAATAGAATTTCCCAGACAATTACTTTCAAACAATAAAATATCCTATATATATCTATATTGTGACTTAAAAACCCCAACAGAGTACATAATCATACCAAACACAGTTTATAGTTTTAGATTCCTATCGAGAAACTCAAAATTCAATATCAATGGAAAACTACCATTTATTTTTCCAGATAATATGACTTATTTGAATTTACATGGTTTAGGTCTTGTTGAATTCCCAATTTTACCAAAAAAAATTCAAAGGCTGTTTGTATTTAAATTTTTATTTTAAATATATATTTTATAATATTAATTTTTCTGTTTATTTATTTTTAAAAAAAGATACATTAGTGGTAATAATTTTAGTTTAAATAGTCCAAAAACATTACCTGATCTTTCAACCTACGAAGGTTTAAATGAAGTTAGCTTTTATGAAACTGGCTTCTGTGGACCAATTCCCGAAAGCTATTGTTCATTTAAAACCTCGTTAACATATAATAATTTAAATGGTAAGTTCACTATTTAAATCAATATTAAAAGAACAAACTGTTTTTTAAAAATACAATACTAATTTTATTTTTTAAATTAAGGAACCCTTCCAATGTGCAAAACTTGTTATTTAGATATAACTGTTGAAGAATTTAAATATAATCCTAATTTACGTTTTGGGGTTTGTGGTATGTAGTAATAAAATCATTATTATTTTAATAACATTATATTAACTATTTATATAAAAAGACGAAAGTTCTATCATTCCTAATTTAGACATATCTTTTGAAAAAGAAATAACTTTATATGGAGAGAATTTAGGATGGTTGGTACCCTTTGTTTTCAACTACCCAAATATATTTTCAATGGTAAAAGGAAACTCAATGTTTAAAGCAAAGTGGGATGAAAATTATGGTCAAATCCCAGATTCATTAGTAATAATGTTACCCCCTAGAAACTTTACATTTAATACTAAAAATGTTTTACCATCGCTAAATAATATTACGAAATCAAATATCCAATTTACTTTTGAAGGCTCAAACTTTTCATATAACAAAAAGGATTTTGAAATTAAAATTGCAAATGAAATTTGTTTAATTTCATACATAAATTTTAATAAAATTATTTGCAATTTCCCAAACCAAAAAGTATTACCTGCAAAAAATGATGCCCCAGCAACTATAAAGAATACTAGATCTGGTGAATTCATTTCATTTGCTATAAATACCCTGGAAGATAAAACAACAGTTGCAAAAGAATGCCCTAACCAATGTTTAGAGGGTATTTGTTCAATTAACACTGGTGCATGTATATGCAATCCTGGTTATAGTGGTGAAATTTGTAGCCCCATACCATGTAAATCTGACTGTGGTACTCCAGAAGGTAGAGGCGAATGCGATGATAAAGTGGGTATTTGTGTTTGTACACTAAAATGGAAAGGTGAATCTTGTGATATACCAAATCAATTTTTAACATCAGCTTCATCAACATTGTCCTCGGGCGGTTTGGTTGATTTATTTGGTTGGTTTGGATTACCAAATGAAGGTTTAGCAATTACAATTGGTTCTTTAAATTGTCAAAAACATTATTTCAATACAACTTTTGCAAATTGTACCATTGGCGCTGGTTCAGGAACTAAATCAATAAAGATTATTCAAAACAATCAAAAGTGGATAGGTGAAAATATATTCCACTATATAGAAACAACATATAGATGTCCAAAAGATTGTTCTTTAAATGGAGTGGCAAATGGTGAATGCAATAATTCATCAGGTCAATGCAAATGTTTTAGTGACTGGGGTGGATATGACTGCAATTCAAAATCGACAACTGGCGGTTCAACATCATCTAGTACTGGATCATCTACACCATCACTTGAAATTCCTAAATCAAATACTACAATCATTAATGGAATAAGTTCTATTAGCAACCAACAAACAAAATACGAAATATCAATTTTCTCGCTAATAGAATATGATGTTACTAATAAAATAGTTTTTACCCATAACCTAACTAATAAATGGATCGGCATAGGAGATACTGGTAAAGATATTCATAAATTTAAACAAAATATTTCAGAAACATGCATAATAACATATATTATTGAAGATATCAAAGAATCGAGAGATTATGAATTTGCGGGTTTACAATTATCTTTAGAAAAAGATTCTATAAAAATAACAATAACCATCGATAACTATCCATTTAAAAGTACATTGAATAAGCTACAACTCAGATTAGAATCTTTGGTAGGAGATGATGGTACAAATATTGCAAATAATGAATGTAACAAAAAAGAAACATCAATCGATAAAGACTTAATAGATAGTAATCAATTATTGAACTATATAACTATTTCAAGAAATGAAAAAGTATTAAATGGTAGATTTATAAATAGAGTATTAAGTGATCACAGACAGTCATTTGTTACAACATCATTAATTTCAAATTCTACAACAACATCAAATAAAGAATCATTTATTATAGGATTAAATTTACCCTATTTCACTGAATCATTAACTATCGATCCAGATTTTTCAGTACTAGTATCCCCATCGTTCAAGAAATGCAAATCAATTGATAATGCTAATTGGGTGTTACCTGTTGCCATTGTTGTACCTTTAGTTGCTGTTGTAGCCTTTATAATAATGAGTGCTATTATTTACAAAAAAAATCGTACCATGGTTTTATTGGTTAAAAATAAATTCAAACTCAGGTCATTATAAAAAAGTGATCTTTATATCAAAACTATCAAATTGCATAAACAATAAAATAACAACTATTCAGTTTTAACAACTAAAGATAATATTAAAATTAAATTATTATTTTTTAAACCTATAAATAGGCAATGTAATTTTATTAATAAAATATTATGATTTATAAAAGTTAAAATTTTTAAATCCTTAAGGAAAAAAAATTATATAAGTTTATCTATTTTTAAATTTAAATATTGCCCTTTATTCAATAACTGCTTGCAAATAAATAATTATAATTATTATTATAATAATAATAATAATAATACACCTAATATTACTTGTAATCCAATAGTTCAACCTGAATCTCTTGAGTATTCAAATAAGTGATAAAAGGGATTATTATTTAATTTTGTTTTTTCAATCATTTTAGATACCAAAAGAGGTTCACAACTCGGGGTAGTGTTATTTTAAAAAATATAAAAAGCAAGGGTAGGAAAGCCTGGTTAAATCCGTGTGACTTAAGATCTCATCCTGTCGGTTCGCGAGTTCGAATCTCGCCTCTTGCAATACGTTTGGTTTGATTTTATCTTTTGGGTGATTGTACTGTTAAAAATATATTCCTCTTCCGGTTATTTTTATTTATATTTTATATTTATCTAATAATCTAATAATGATCTTCATAGAACACCGACCTACAAGAACATGCTTTCAATTATCTTCCACCAAGTCTGGATCTGGGTATGCACCAAATTATTTAACAAAGAGATTGACCCAAATGCAATTGCTAAATCATTAAATTATAATGATATCCAAAACAAATGGATCAAACTCCCCTTACTAGAATATGCAAGAATTATCCAATCAAACTACAACAACTTCTTAAAAGTAGATAAACAAATAAATTCAATCCATATTCAATCCATTAGATCTAAAATATCCACCATTTACAAATTACCAGAAACCACTCTGGTCAATTTCCCAAACACCTATCTATAATAATACAAATCCTCACACATACCATTTTAAAATTTTTATTTAATAAAATACTATCTCTTACTAATAATAAATTATATCATTAAGATTTTTTAAAAAAAAAAAAAAAAATTATTTGTTTAAGTATTTAGATGAGACATAATAATAACAGTTATATATATATATTATGAGACATAATAATAACAGTTATATAATATATATTAATTTAATTCTAAAATGCATATGAATACATTACAATCAAAAAAAAAATATTTTAATGCATTTGTTGGAAAATGTCAAATGTTAACATCATCATGTGCTTTAAATTCTTAAAAAAAATTTTCATTTAAAAGTTTTTTATTTTTGTTATTTCTTTATAAAATCAATAAATTTCTCCACTGCATCTTTTGAGGATTTTGTATTTTGAAGTTTTTTAAAAGTTAAAAAGCTGTGAGTGGCTCCGAGATAAACAAAACAAGAGCATTGAACACCAACACTTTTTAAGTTTTGATAAAATTCTAAACCTTCATCCGCTAATGGGTCACATTCTGGAAGGATGAATAAAGTTTTAGGAAATCTGATAGTTGTTCTTTTGTTGCTTTTAGAGGACATACTAATATATTTCCTCTATCTTTTTCGAAAGCCAAGTATTGATTATAAAGGTGTATAGTACTGTCTAAAGTTAGAATATAGCCACCCATACCATATTTTAAATATGAGCTTCTATTAAAATCAACGTCAGTGGCTGGATTAATTAAAATTTGTTTTTAAATTTTGGACCATTTCTTTGTTTACACAAAATAGATAGAGCGATGGCTATATTACCTCCTTCACTATCACCGCCTACAACTAAAGTATTGAAGTCTATATTATAGATTGATGACTCTTTTTCTAATTTACATAATATACCATAACATTCCTCAATTGCAATTGGGAATTTAGCTTCTGGTGCTAAAATATATAATGGGTAAATAACGATAGAATTTGTTCTAAAGCATATTTCTCTGGGTAATTTATGATTCCCACCACCCAGACACCAACCACCACCATGAATATAATATACAGCTGAATAGCTTTGTCTTTTATCAAATTCGTTTGGACAAAAAAATAACACATCAACAGAACCTAAATCGTCACCTAATTTGAATGTTTCTTTTTTGATAGTACATGGGTATTCATCATAGGTTTCGGTTGATCTTAATTTTTTTTCTCTTACTTCCTGTATTGTAGTTTTATTAAAATCTAAAATATGTTCACTTTTAAATTTCTCTATTATTTGTTTATCTATATCTTCATCTATATTTATTTTGATCATTGTTGCAATGATTTTTTTAAATTTAAAATTAAAAAAAAAAAATTATTGTAGAAGTAGGTCAAGTTTGCACAAATTTGTATAAAAAAAAATTTTGTTTTTTCAAAATTAATATGAAAAAAGGTTTTTTAAATTTAAAATTTTTTTTTTTTTTTATTTATTTATTAAGATGATGAAATATTTAACAATTAAATATTTAAAATAAACAAATAAATAAATAAATAAATGAAAATAAAATAATAACAAAAATTAGTGCGAGAATTTGTTATGTCTAAATAAATAAAAAAATTGTAATTTTTAAAATTTTTTTTAATTTTTTTTATTTTAATTTTTTTAATTTTAATCTTATATTTATATTCGATGAACATATAAAATTTATTTATTTTCTATTATATATTTATTTATTTTAAATATTTAATTGTCATCTAAATAAATAAATAAAAAAAATAAAAAAAATTTTTTATCATCTAAATAAATAAATAAAAAAAATAAAAAAAAAATATTTTTATTTATATATTTATTTTATATATTTTTATTATTATTAATTACATTATAATAATATGATATTGATCGTTTTTTTATCTTTTTTTTTATATAATCTTTAAGTTCATTTATTTACTGATTAATTTAATGCATTACTTTAAAAATCTTCTTTTTTAAAAAAAAAAAGTTCATTTACATTTAAGAAATTCTTTTCTTAAAAAAATTATAAATTTTCATTTAAAAATTTTTTATTTTAGTTATTTATTAATAAAATCGATAAATTTCTCCACTGCATCTTTTGAGGATTTTGTATTTTGAAGTTGTTTATAAGTTAAAAAGCTGTGAGTGGCTCCGAGATAAACAAAACAAGAGCATTGAACACCAACACTTTTTAAGTTTTGATAAAATTCTAAACCTTCATCCGCTAATGAGTCACATTCTGGAAGGATGAATAAAGTTTTAGGGAAATCTGATAGTTGTTCTTTTGTTGCTTTTAGAGGGCATGCCAGTATATTTCCCCTATCTTTTTCGAAATCCAAGTATTGATTATAAAAGTGTATAGTACTGTCTAAAGTTAGAGGATAGCCACCCATACCATATTTTAAATATGAGCTTCTATTAAAATCAACGTCAGTGGCTGGATTAATTAAAATTTGTTTTTTGAATTTTGGGCCATTTCTTTGTTTGCACAAAATAGATAAAGCGATAGTTATATTACCTCCTGCACTATCACCGCCTACAACTAAAGTATTGAAGTCTATATTATAGATTGATGACTCTTTTTCTAATTTACATAATATACCATAACATTCTTCAATTGCAATTGGGAATTTAGCTTCTGGTGCTAAACTATATAATGGGTAAATAACGATAGAATTTGTTCTAAAGCATATTTCTCTGGGTAATTTATGATTCCCACCACCCAGACACCAACCACCACCATGAATATAATATACAGCTGAATAACTTTGTCTTTTATCAAATTCGTTTGGACAAAAAAATAACACATCAACAGAACCTAACTCGTCACCTAATTTGAATGTTTCTTTTTTGATAGTACATGGGTATTCATCATAGGTTTCGGTTGATTTTAATCTTTTTTCTCTTGCTTCCTGTATTGTAGTTTTATTAAAATCTAAAATATGCTCTCTTTTAAATTTCTCTATTATTTGTTTATCTATATCTTCATCTATATTTATTTTGATCATTGTTGCAATGATTTTTTTAAATTTAAAATTAAAAAAAAAAATTAAAAAAAAAAATAAAAAATCTTTTTTTTTAAAATGAAAATTATTTTTTTATTATCATTTTTTTTCTATTAATTTGCTCATTTATTTATTCAATTATTTCACTGTTTTTTTTATTTCTTAATTTTTTTTATAACCCCATAAAATTATCAAATTATCAGTTAAAAAAATAATTCATTTAAAATGGTAATTTAATACTGATTTCCTAATTTTTTTTAAAAGCTCTTTAAAGAAAATTTTTATATCAAAATAAAGAATTTCTTAAGAGTGGTTATTTTTTTTTTTTAATTTTTTTTCAAATTTAAAAAATTTTTTTATAAATTTTTTCGATGAATCAAAGATATTGTCGATAGCACAAAAAAAAACCAAAATAACTATAAAGATTTTTTTTTTTCAATTATTTTTTAATTTATTTTTTTTTTTTTTTTTTTTTTTATAAAATATTTTTTTATTATAAATATTTTTTAAATAATCAACCATTTTTTGTAAAATATATAAATAAAAAATATTTAAATTAAATAAATAAATTAAATAAATAAATAAATAAATAAATAAATAAATAATAATATCAAATAATAAAATGAATTTTATTAAAAAAGTTTTCAATTCGCCATCTACAAAAACAAAAAATAATATTGTTGATGAAAGTCAATTAAATAATAATAAAAATATTAGCTCAGAAAAATCATTATTAAATGATTTTGAAAATGCCAATTATTTTAATTATTATAGATTATTAGAAAGAAAATCATCATCTCCAAAAGTTGGTTTGGTATCAAATACACATGGTGGAGGTTTTGAATTAGAACAATTTGACATTGAAGCTCATATGAATGATACCTGCGTAGTTTCATTATTCACCCAAAAGTATAGCAATAACTACACTTTACCAGTAGAAGCCCAATATAAAGTTGCCTTACCACCAAATTCAGCCGTATCCGATTTCGTAGTCATAATCAAAGATAAAGTATTAAAAGGTAAAATTAAAGAGAAATCAAAAGCTCAAGAAAAATATAACGATTCTATTGCTACCGGTGGTAAAGCTTTCCTTGCCGAAAAGTCATCCGATGGTTTATTCAATTTAATGATTGGTAATGTTGCACCAAAAGAAGAGGTTACTGTTAAAATTACCATTACCTCAGAAATTGATACTCATTTAGAAAGTTATCACTATTGCTTACACAGTTCAATGTTCCCAAATAATAAGAGTTTTGACCTTAACTATTCACTTCATGCCAACCTCTCAACCCCAATCGAATCTGTAGAGTTACTCAATAGAAAAAATGCCACTGTTACTTTTGAAAATGAAGAAAAGACCAAATTAACTTTGAACTATTCCAGCAAAAATGGTGTCTCTGATTCTGCCAAAAAGATGCTTATTACCGTTTTAGTACCAAAGTTTTCAAATAAGCCAGAATCATTCATTGAATACTGCCCAATTGAAAAGACTCACTCTATTGGTATTAATTTTTATCCAAACTTTAATATTCCAGCTGACGAAGTTGATCAAAAAGCTGAATACATTTTTGTTGTCGATTGTAGTGGTAGTATGTCTGGTACCCCAATTTCAAAAGCTAAAAGGTAATTAAATTTAATATCTCTTTATTTATTTTTTATTTTTATTAACATCTTTTTTTTTTATTAATAATAGAGCTTTAGAAATTTGTTTGAAGTCATTAAATGAAAAATCTAAATTTAATATTTACAGATTTGGTTCAGATTTCCAAACATACAGTCGTACATCCCAACTTTACACTGATGAATCATTAGAACAAGCAATGGAATATATTAGACAAACTGATGCCAACTTGGGAGGCACTGAATTATTACCACCAATTAAAGATATTTTAAAAACTGAATATGACCCAGAATATCCAAGACAAGTATTCATTTTAACTGATGGTGAAGTTTCTGAAAGAGATGAATTAATCGAATATGTTGCTAAAGAATCAAATACAACCCGTATTTTCACTTTTGGTATTGGCAGTGGTGTTGATAAAGAATTGGTTATAGGTTTATCAAAAGCTTGTAAGGGTTATTACGAATTAATTGACGATAACAAGGATATGGAAGAAAAAGTAATGAAACTTGTTAGTATCTCTTTCCTTCCAACTCTTTCAAATATTAAAGTTGATTGGGGTAACTTATCAGTTGACCAAGCTCCATTAGTTATTAGACCACTCTTTACAAACGAAAGAATGATGATTTATGGCACATTAAATAAAGAATTACCAAAAGATACCACCACCGCTAATATCAGAATATATGGTAATGGTCCATCTGGCGAAATTGTTTCATTCACAGCAGAATTAGATTTCAGTAAAGTTGATTCAACCTCACGTTATATCCACACACTTTCAGCATTCAAACAAATTCAAGATCTTGAAGAAGGCGAAAGAAAACAAAGCAAAGATAACAAGGATAAGATTGTAGAGTTGGGTAAGAAATATGGTTTAGTTTCAAAACATACATCATATATTGTTACTGCCGAAGGTGAAGGTGAGGTCACCGAAGAATCAATGGTTAGTGTCAAAGTTTTAGAAACAGTAAAACTCTCTGCAAATGTACATACCTATGCTCCAGCCCCACAGCAAAATTTAATTAATATGGCTCCAGTTCTTTATAGAAATAGATCTGTTTCTATAGAGTCAGAATCAGATGGTGACTGTGACGGTGAATGGGAAGAGGAAGAGCAACTCGATTCAATCCATGCATGTTATGACTCACCTTTAGAATGTTTATCAGAACAACTCGAAATGAAAATGGAATGTGATTCAGCTCCAGCTCCACCTCCACCAGCTCAAAAAGGTGGCAGTTTATTATCTAGCTTTTCATTCTCCAAACAATCTTCACCACCATTAGAAAAAAGAGAAAAAAGAGAAAAGGAATGTAAAAAGAAGTCTTCATATTCCCCAGCCCCATCATGTGCTCCAACACCTATGTCCTATCAAACTATAACAAGTGCTCCAAAACCCTCTCAATCTGCAACACCTGTTCCATCAAAACCATTAGTTCAAAAGAGTGGCGATATTGTTATTGATTTAATTAGAACCCAAAAAGCCAATGGATCATTCACCAAAGCAACAGTTGGCTCATTATTATCCATTAGTGCTACCCCAAGTGAATTATCATCAAACGAAGATATTTGGGTAACCTTGGTAGTTATTGCTAAATTCATGTCCTATGATAAACAAAAGAGTCAATGGGAATTAATTGTCCAAAAAGCCTCAAAGTATGTAAAACAACAATTATCAAAATTAAATTTATCCTTTGATGATTTATTAAACCAAGCTAAAAAAACAATTTAAACAAATAAAATATAATGTATAAATTTAAACAAATAAAATATAATGTAAAATAATTATTTTTTTTTTTTAAGAAAAACTTTTTTAAAGTTATATTTATTTAGTATTAATTATTATTATTTATTATTATTATTATCTTTAATTAAATTGTTTTTTTTTTTTATGAATAAAATTTATTACATTTTTATTACAATTAAAAATACTGATAAATATATTTAAATTATTGTTGTGTTTTATTGTGCCAACCAGTTATCTTTTGAATGAAATTCTTGAACCTCTTACTATATGTTGTTGGATCAACAGCAGACATTGAATCGATGGTATCATAGGCAACTGATTTGTAGGTGTGTTCTATTTGCTTTTTAATATTGTAAACTGTAAGAATATCAATAATACCTAAATAATAAACTCTATCATAAAGATCACCACTTGCAGTTCTTGATAAAATACCACCCATTTCTTTTTTAAAGAATGGTTGTTGATCATCAATATCTTCATCATTAATTTTTTTACCTTTTAAATAGTGTATACCTAATAATAAACTGTAATCCATTGAGCTATTTTTTTCTAAAAACTATAAAATAAAAAAAATTATTATTTTGCTTTTTGTGATTTTATAAAAGTAATTATACTTACATTACAATCATTTTCAATTTGTTTAAAAAATTTATTTTTCATGTCTTCTGAAATAAAAATTCTTGAGCTAAAATCTAAATCCATTAAAACTCTTTTACCTTCTTCAGCTTTTCTTTGTAAAGTGCTACCTTTCAAGTCATAAATTTCATCCATTTGATGATCACCAAAAATATTGTCCATTACTACAAAAAATGTATTTTTCATTTTTGATGGTGAGATATAATGTAAACCATAGAATTTGACTATTAATGAATCTGGATTTTGTAATAAATGCTAAATAAAGGAATAGAAAATTAATATACATTTTGCTATAATTAAATGATAATTATAATTATATTTATACCTACGAAATAATAGTTTGGTAATAATGACTTTAAATGTTCAAATTCGGTTGTTGTAATTGTTTTAATTAATAGTTTTTTATCAGAGGTAAAATAAAATAATGAATTGCTTTTTCCTTGGGTTGGTTCTTCAGTTAAAGTATTTTGGGCCAATGATAACATATAGTCTGCAGAATTCACTTTACAAAGCTCTCTAATTTTTCTAAATACTTTAGGTGAATAGTCTGTAAATTTATATGAGAATTGAGACTTGATTGAAGCGCTTGTGGAGGTTGTAGTCATATTTGGTATAGCTGAGCCACTAACAGATGGTGATGTAGATAATGGTGTGCATGGCAGCGATACTTCTTTATTGACATTAAAAGTTTCTGATGCTTGAAAATCTTCCATACATAAATCAGACATTGGTGCTGCTGAAATTTTACCCAATGAAAATAAGAGTGCATGAGACATACAATGTACCAATTCATAATTCTTGTGAGTTTCTGTTACAATTGAGGCCGATGAATCCAGACTATCTACGGTGCTAGCTTTGAGTAAATTCTGTTGTTTATCTATCACTTCTTGAACTGATCCTATCCATTCATAAGAGTCTCTTTCATACTCTGTGGTATTGGTTCTTTCATTTGAGAATAAGTAAAATGGTCTTTTTGTTGGTAAATGAGTTATTTTGAAACACAATGATTTTTTTATTTCGATTTCAGCCATTTGAATGGTGCATTCCGATAATGGAATTCTATTTAAAAATTGTGATCCTTTATCTTTATAATACTCTAAAGATGTCTCTGTCAATATAAAATATCTACATAACCAATTCTTCCGTAAGTGACCTTGTTTATTTAAATAACCTTCTCTAACTATAGTTGTTGCTGAATCAATTGATGAATGTGTAAAAATTTGATCTTCAACTTCGTCCTGTGCATCATTATTGGCTGGTGCTTGATTTAAACTATTGTTGCCATTGAATAATATTATTGGTGCATTTGAATTTGATGTGTTTGTTGTATTTACTGTTGTTGTTGCTGTTGCTGTTGTTACATTATTTGATACTATAGTTGTTGATGTTGTTGATGTTGTTGATGTTGATGTTGTTGATGGTGCAGTTGCTGTTTTTTTACCAATTAAACCGTTCCACCATGATGAAAAACCTGATGCTGCAGATTGAGCAGAAGAGGGAGTTGGTGTTGTTGGTAATGAACTATTATTACATGATATATTTTCACTTGACGATGATTTATTTAAAGCAGTATTATTAATCTCATTTCCTGATGTTGATAAATTTTCGCTACTATTATTGCTACCTCTTAAATTTAATGGTGAAATTCTTGCCGCATCCTTTTTTGGTTGTGATCCTATCCACATTGATTGCCTTAGTTCAGTTTTATCATCTTTTTTATTATCTTCATTATCTTCAATTTTTATTTCTTCTCCCTCTTCTACTACTTTTTCCTCTTTTACTTCTTTTACTTCTTTTTCTTCTTTTTCTTCTACTCTTATTTCTTCATTAATTTGAATTGAAACCATTTCATCAACCAATTCATCATTATTATTATTGTTTTCTTTTGAGGCTAAATTGTTTTCTTCTTCTTTAACATTATTATTATTATTGCTATTTTCATTATTATTATTATTATTATCAATATCAATATTATCGATATTATTGTTGTTGTTATTATCTTCACTCATATTGTTATAACATTAATAGTATAATAGTAATATAGTATTATTACTATATAGATTATTTGTTTTTATAATAATACTATTTTAACAATTGTTTATAAACTATATGATTATATAAATTTTTTTATTTATAACAACACAATTATAACTATTAAAAAAAAATTTTAAAAAAAAAAATTAGATTTTTAATTTTTTTTTATTTTTTTTAATTATTTTTTTTTAAAAAAAAAAAAAAATAAATAATTAAAAATAGTTTGTGTGAGGATGTGTGATATTTATGACTTTTCAAAATTATCTATTTTTAAAATAAACAATTATGATAAAATAAATATTTTTAGTATAGAGAATAAAGTTTTATTATAATTAATTTTTTGAATAGGTTTTTGATAAAAATTCGATTAAGAAATCATCAGCAATGGCGGTTAGTGGAATATTATTGATACCATTATACATAGCTGCAGAACCTTTTTTGGATAAATCAGGATTATCTAAAACATCTTGAACAGATTCTTTAAGGTTTTCTAAAAATTTCTTTTCGATACCAATATGGCTTGGACTAAGAGTCATATGAATTGAGTTTGGTCTGTGTTGTCTTTCTAATTTCCAACCGAATTTCTTTTCCATGACATCAGCAACTGAGTGAATATTTACAATATTTGATCTCATTGAGATAATTGACATTACTGGTGAACCAATGACTTCGATGTTGCCTAGTGGTAGTAATTTAATACCATTTTGAATTGCATGAGATGTGGCCATAATTTTACTGACATAATCGATATAACCATTTTCGCCCATTGAAACAATTGAAGTCCATGCTGCAGCAATATTACCACCAGATCTAGTTCCTAACATTGATGGTGATACAAATAAACCACCAGGCCATTGTGTATAAGCAATGAATTGATATTTTCTATATTCGTTATTTTTAAATAATAAGACTGATGATCCTTTAGTAGCATAACCATACTTGTGAATATCTGCAGAAATAGAGGTCACTTGTTTAATACGGAAATCGAATGGAGGTACTTTGTAGCCACACTTTTCTAACCAAGGTAAAAAGAAACCACCAATACATGCATCTACATGCAATGGTAATTTATATTTTTCAGCTAACTTTGCAATGGACTCTATTGGATCCATTAAACCGTGGGGATATTGAGGTGCTGATGCTATTAATAGAATTGTATTTTTATTGATTTTTGTTTCATACTCTTTTAAGTTTACTTGGTCATCTGATTTATTTAATTGAATATATCTAGTGGTAATACCAAAATATTTAGCAGCTTTTTCGAATGCAGGGTGAGCAGTAATTGGTAACACTACTTCAGGATCCTTAATTCCGTATAAATCCAAAGCTCTGTCTCTGTATGATTTCATTGCCATTAAAATTGACTCTGTGCCTCCAGTAGTCATTGTACCTTTTGCCTCGTGGTCACCATTTAACATATTAATTGCCATTTGAATTACTTCAACTTCCATTTTTCTTAAACTTTGGAAAGCCAATGGGTTTAATGCATTTAAATGTACAAACATGTTATGTGCTTTAATTACAACTTCTTCATGATCCTTATTGGTTGGATAACAATATGCAAATAGTTTACCTTCATCTAAAATGGTTTAAAAATAAAAGTAATTTAAATTATTATTAATATTATTACTAAAGTAGAATATTATTTTAATAGTTTAATATTTACCTGGATTCACGTCGTTACTATGAATCTTTTCCAATTGATCTAATATATATTCTTTACCCTTTCCCATCTTTGGAATTTCAAATTGATCGTCAACATCTTTCATTGGTGGAAAGTTTTCAGATATGATTTGAGTTACCTCTTGATTAATTTCCTCATCAATTGATTTGAATTTACTGGGGAAAGTTCTTTTTGCAAATTTATAGAATTTAGTTTTATAATGTTCTAACAATTCCTTAAATGAATCATTTTTGTATGATTTGTAAACTTTTGAAATTACAAAAAATAAAATAATAGCGTGAGTAATATTGATCTTTTTATCTATTACTATTTCCATTTTATTATTTATATGATTAATATTAATATTAAAACTAATATTGAAAAAAAAAAAAAAAAGATATTTTTTAAAAAAAATTATAAAAATTATAAAATTTTTTAAAAAATAAAACTTTTCAATAAAACTTTTTGTTTTTCTTTTGATATTTTTTTTATTATTTGAAACTTTATCATCAATGTCGTCATCTTCTAAAAATGATATTATATATAATTGATATTATATTAAAATTTTATAATGAAAGAAATGAAAAATAAAATAAAATAAAAAAAAAAATTCAGCATTATTTTTTTTTTAAAATAATGAATATTTATATTTTCAAAAAAAAAAAAAGATTATTTTATTTATTTATTTATTTATTTATTTATTTATTTATTTATTTATTTATAGTGATTTTGATAATTTTTCAAACTTATCAAATTAATCTAAAAGATTTAAAACTTTTAATTGTTGTTTTACCCATTTAGTTGATTTAAGAATTACACGTTCCCATTGTGATTTTTGAGATGGAAATCTTTGGCAATTTTAGCAATAACTAATAATGTGGACCAAATATTTTCATTTTCGCTACTAGAAAGTTCTTCTGGAGCTTTGGTCATATCAATGGAGAATTGGGTGACTAAATTTTTTTCAAATGAACCATTGGCTTTTTGTAGCTTAAGTAAATTAATTAATGGATCATTCTTACTGATGCAGTTACTACGTGAAACTACTTTTAGTAATCAAGTTACAGGAAGTGAAAATATAAAAATTTACCATCAAGATAACCACAAATCAATTAGAGTAAATTCGTCTGACAATTCATTAAACCAATCATACGAAAAGTCTTGATAATGTTTTGATTTGGCAGAGATAATCTTTAAAGGCAATTCGTTTCCTCCAACCCACAAAAAATTTATTATAATCAATGTCCAAATCGCTAATTATTATTTCAAGTGATTCAAACTAAGAAACTTGATCACATTGCTACTTTACAAGCTGTTTATCACTTTTCAAAAAAAAAATTTTAAAGAAATAATAATATAAATTAATAAATAAATATTATGATATTAATATTATATTATTTTTTTTTTAATAAATTATTTTATATTAAAAATAAGAAATAAATCTTTAGTCCAAGTGTATTTTTTTTGTTTTATCTATAACATGCATATTTTTGTGTGGGAAATCCCAATTAAATAATTATTCAAGTAAAAATAATTCAGCGAAATAAAATAACGATTAAATATAATGAGGAGATAAATAACCTTAAAAAATTTGAAAAAAACTAAGAAAAAAAAAAATATTTATTTTTTAATTTTTAATTTTTTAATTTTTAATTTTTGAAATATTTTTAAATAACTTTTTTTTTTTTTTTGTTTTTATCAATTTTTTCAAATCAAAATCAAAATCTAAAAATAATTTTTTTTATACGCTTTATATTCAAAAATAAAAATCAATAATAAAAATATTAATAAAAAAAAAATAATAATTAATTTTTATTTTATTTATTTATTTATTTTTATATTTGTACAATATTTATTATTTATTATTTTAACTATACTAAAATAAAATGGAATCACCATTAATTTTAGTATTAGTTAAATTTTTATTAAAATTTTTTGCATATTGTTGTTCGATTTTGTCCATTCCAATAACCATATATTCAATTATATTAAATGTAAATAAATAAAATAAATATTTTTTTTTTATTTTTTTTTAATTTATTATGAACTAACACATTTTTGATTTTATTTTTAGAAAATATTAAAATATGACACAAAAAATAATGCCTTAGGACACTTTTTAATTTTTATACCACGTATTATATTAACAATACCCTTCCCATTTTCGTTTCCGCTGTTGGCTTATTTGTATGGGTGGTTAGTATATTTAGCAATCGATGGTAAAACATTTCTGCCTTATGTTATAGCAATTGGGTTTTTGGTAGGGATTATTATTGGGTTCTGGTTTACCAGATCAATGAGCTTCTTAAAAGATTCAATTAGTCAATTAAAAATAAAGTAGGTATTTCCAGCTTTATAATATATGGTTTCATGAAACCAAAATTAACGTTAATTTTTTTTATAGAGGATCAGATAGTTATTTTAAAGGTTTAAAAGAAGCAATTTTGGATATTGGGGCAACTTTTTCATTTTTTATATCAATTGTTACAGTAATTAGAATACCATCAATGATATTATCAGTTGCCTATAGAGATGAATTATCAACAAGCCACAAGAAAATTAGAACCAATTTATATAGACACTTAATATTAATACCATTTGATTTATTTGGTTTAATTAGTTACCTTTTCGTTTTAATAACAATCCTTAGAATAAAACCATTACACGAAAAAATTAGATTGGTATTATCTTTAAAAAAAAAAAAAAAAAAGAAAACTTTTAAAATAATTTTACTAATCAATTTTTTTTTTTTTTTAGAATCATAGCTCAATTACAAATAAATTATTTAGTATTGGACTTAGACTCTTAATTATTAGAAATTTAATTATTGTAGTATTAGAGTTCTTCGTAATGTTATTATGTATTATATTTATAATTTCACCATGGAGAATCAAACCAGCAGTTCAAAAAGCAAGGGCAGCAAAAAAACAGGTTGAAATCTTTGGGGAGATTTTTTCTCAACAAATGAATGGTTTGGTCGATGTTGCAGTAATATTTATATCATTGCCATTATTAATCTCATTTTATAGACTACCATACGCAATAAGAAGAACTTTTGAAGATGTAAGTAGTTCTTTATTAAATTATTTATCTATAATTAATATTAATATTAATTCTTTTATTTTAATTATTATTTTAAAGGATAGAGCCAGTGAAAGAAGAAAAGAACTTTTACTCCAAACTCTTTTTGTTTTTGTAGACATCTTTATAATTTTCTTTTCAATTATAATTATCCTCACAATTTATAGGTTACCAAGAACAGTTAGAAAGATCTTTGCAAGACCAGGTCGTTACTATGAATATATCTTTTTCCAATTTATAAAGATTTTTAGAGATATTCCATTCTTATTTATGGGTCTTTTCGTTACCATTGCAGTTTGGAGAGCACCATTCATGTTAGCTCAAGTATTTAAAGAACCAGAATGGTATAAACGTAGACGTATTGTATCAAGACACTTCGTATGGGTATTTATCGATATTTTAGATATTCCATTCATCATCAGCAGTCTTATTATTTTAGTTACTCTCTGGAGAGCTTATGCATTTGTTTGTGGTTTCATTGTATTAGACTCAAGAAAGAAACAAAGAATATTCGCTATAAAGCAAATTTTTTATTGGTTAATGGATATACCAACCTTTATAGCTTTACTTTTTATTACCATTACCGTTTATCGTTTACCAAAAACATATAGACAATTAAGACTCTATTTCAAACATGCTGATTATTCCAAAGATTCTTCATCTATTAACAATTCCGATAAAGTAGTCATTCAAAGATCAACCGTTGTAGCACCAATACCAGCAATTTATGATGAGGATAATCCACCACCATCAAATGACTTTAGCGATGATAATCCAGCTCCAAGTATTTCTGCAGTAGCCAATAACAATCCAGAAGCAGACGAAATTAAAGAATTCTCATCATGGCGTCAAATAGTTCTCAAACAATTACTATTATGTATCATCGATATTCCATTCCCAATTCTCACCCTCTTAACACTTTGGAGATTACCTGTCATGATCCAAAGATTTAAAGAAATAGATGACCCAATTAGAAAGGACACTTTACGTAGATTATTAATCCTTAGATATGTTATGTTAACCCTATTAGATATTGTCTGTATTGTTCCTGCACTATTCATCATTGTTACAATTTGGAGAATCCCATCATTTGTCAAATTAATCAAATCTTATCAACGTGGTGATAATGAACATAAAATGTTTGGTTTATTATTCTGGAATACTTTAGTTGATATACCATTTGTAGTCATGGGTATATTAACATTGCCAGTACCATGGAGAGGTGTCTTTTTAATTAAAACTCTATTCACAGATAAAGAAAATGTTAAAAGTGATAAAGATGCAAGATTAATGGCTGCTAAATACTTGGGTTGTACATTACTTGACTGCATAACCTTTGTATTTCTTCTTTTCATAGGTGTAACAATGTGGAGAATTAAATCATTATTTAGTTTCTACAAGAAGGAAATTGTAATAGAAAGAGTAAACAAGAAATTTAAAACTACTCTTACGTTATTCTACTGCAGTTGCATGATTGCAGTTGTTATCTTTATTGATATCTTCAAGACATTCCAAGTTTTAGTAACCATTTTATTCATCAAGCAAGCAAGACCATTGTATAGAGCAATCCAAAAGAAAAAAGAAGATAAACCAGACTATACCTTAGAAGATTTCCTCCCTATTATCAGCTACTATTTCCTTGTTACTCTTATGGATATTCCTCATGTATTTTTAATTCCAATCAAACTCTTAGGTTTCCTTTTCCTTCCAATTCATATGTATTTAAAGAAACGTTCAACACAAGAAAATTCAAATCCAACATTATCATTCTTAAACTATCCACTTTACTTCTTAAACGAAACCTCTATTGATCTCATGAACTACTATGGTTTAGATAAATTCTTTGTTATCAATTTTTTAGGCTTATTTATAGTGGCCATTAACGAATTAGCTTTAATTATAGTTGTTTTCAATTCTATTTACATGTTTATTGTAACACTTGGTTCTCCATTGTGGGCTGAAACAAGAAAGAAATACGGTTGGAATTATTTAGGTAAAGCTCAAGGTCCAATGGTAGTTTTAGAATATATCACTGTAGTTTTACAAGCCCTTTTATTCCCAATTTTTATTCTCATGCAAATCGCAATTCTATTATTACCATTACTTTTAGCACTTGGACTCTATCCATCACCAAATTTAGGTTTTGTTGAATTTTGGCAAGATTTTTTCACCCAACGTGACTTTTGGAATGAAGCTAAATCCTTTTCATCAGGAATTTGGATAGCTCAAGCATGTTGGTTTTTCATCTGTGTAGCATCATGGGAAATAACATTTAAAGTTGGCAAGAAGTACTTTACCATTTTTTCACCATGGAAAGCATATTATTGGTTAGTAAAGAAAGTATTCCATGGCAAACTCTGGTATTGCTACACTCTAATTCTCATTACTGGTACTAGAGTATGCTACAGACTTAGAAGAGCATGTCTTATTGGTGAAATTCTTATGTTCCCATTATTTATCATTTGGACTTGTTGGCCATTCATCATTCCAATCGCAACCAAGATTTACTATATATTTATTGGATCTGGTATTGTAACATTAGGTTTAATTATTTTAGCATACAGAATTATCAAAGAAAATTGGACTGATAACAGAAAAACCCAAAACCTAAAACCAATTATCAACCTTTCAACAGTTTCATGTGAATTACCAGAGTCAGGTGGTCTTGTATTTACATTCAAAGGAAGAAGAGCTAGTTTTGAAACACCAAAAATTGTCGATGCTCGTTTATCAATGGAAAGTGAAAAGCTTTGGGAAACAATTGGCAAGGTTATTGGTAGCACTAAAGTTAGAGCAGCTCTCATGGTCGTTGGTTATCCAATTTCACTTTGTCCCTCTTTCTTAAATGTTCCAGATGTTAATGAAATTCTTTCCTACCATCAAGCTGGATCATTCCAAGTCAAAATTGGTATTGAAGGTTCCAAACCAGTTATAAAGAAAAAAGTTTTAACTAAAATATTAAATCAAATTAGAGAAGTTGACGACTCACCATTTGACTTTGTAATTGAATATGGTAAAAAAGATTTCGGTTGGCAAAAACATGGTATTTTAATAAAATTCAGTACCACAATTCAAAATCTTTTAGAAAATACAGTAACAATAGATAATAACAATGTTGATAATAATGATAATATGGATATCAGCTTACCTATTAGAAAGCAACCAAATGGTTTATCAACAAGTCCAGTTTTAAAACCAACTCCACCACCAAGCAGAAACTCAATCGTCATTTCCCCAGATAAAGACTTAACAAATTCAAATTTTGATACGGAATATGAAGATAGTTTTGATGCCCAAGGTTTTGAAAATGCATTAACTTCTGCACAGCCACAACAACAACCACAGCAAGCTCAACCATCAATTTTAGATGATATGTCAAATTATTTAAGTGACGATCAAATGAATGAAGAATTCTTTAGATCTTTATCGGATGATAAAAGTAATAATGTTTAATTTATACACACACAATAAAAACCTATATAAAAGTATTTTTTATATTGACTAATAATTTTTTTTTTATTTTATTAAATTTTTTATTTAAAAGATATACCAACTCTTAAAAAGAGAAACATAAAAGAAAATAGTGAAAAATAAAACTTTTTTATTTAAATAACATTAATAAATGCTGTTATTGCTTCTTTTGGTGCTGTTTTTCTGATAACTAAAGAAAAATGGCATTGTGGACTTGTATCAACATTTGTATTAATAATTATTGGCCATTTATTTTTAACTTCTAAAAGCACTTCGTGTTGTTTAACATAACGTACTTAAAAAAAAAGAAATTAGAATTATAATTTGGTTATTTAATTAGAATCTTTTTTTAACTTACTTTGACCTTTAATAACCTCTACAATATCGAAACATTTATCATAAGACTTCATATTAATTTTTTCACACATTACTTTGAGGATATCTAAAGCGGTATCGGATGAGGAAACTTTGAAAGTTTTGTAACTGTCATTTCTATAATAAACTTTAATAACTTCTGATAAGCTTAAATGACTTTGTTTATTTGCACCATTTGGAGTTGGGTTTTTCTGTAATAAATCAAACTCTGATAATTTTTTTGATTGTTCATGTTGTTGTAAAATATTTTTAATATTGTTATTGTGTTCATTTTTCTTTTGGTCATATTCTTTGGTTACTTCCATTAAAACTGCTTCAGAATTTGATAGTTTACCCATCGATACGTCTCTCATTTCTTGTTGAAACCAACCTTGGGCCATATCTATTGCTGAGAAACCATTCTTATCTTTTAAATCGATTTTACTGCCTTGTCTAATTAACCACAGTGCTAAAATATCATATCTTCCTGTTACTAATGAATGTAATGGTGTCCATCCTCTGTTATCTTGTACATTTACATCACACCCTCTTTGTACCAATAACTCTAACACTTGTTTATGTCCTCTTGCACATGCTATATGAATTGGTGTTGTTCCTTTATCATACTCGGTCATATTTATATCACAACCACAGTCGATCATTTCCCTAACCTATTTTTAATTTAAATATTTGTTAGTACAGGTTTTTTTTTTTTTTTTTAATAAAATAATAACTTCTTACTTTTTTTGTATTATTATCAAATACAGCTTTAAATAAATCGTAATCATATTTTTCTATTAAGTTAATTTTAGTTTGGAAACTCATTTTATACTTTTATTTTATTATTATACTGATATAAATTAATAAATTATATTAATATGAATGTTTTAAATATTTTATCTTTTTATTAATAAATTAAAAAAAAATATTAAAAAAATAATAATAAATTAAATAAAGGAATGATTTATTAAACAAATAATTTTAATGTGCTCAATTCATATTAAATAGGAATATTATATTATTATTGGTATTTTTTATTTTGATTTATTAAATTATTTTTTTTTTTTTTTTTTTTTTTTTTTTTTTTTTGTGTGTTTGAGTGTTAAAATTTTTAATTTTTTAGGTTAATAAATATAAGCTTTATGTGTGTGGGGGAGTGGGTTATAATGTGTTATAGTGTTAACTTTTATATAATTCCTAGTGATTAAAAATTATCGTTATTCTCAGTTTTCACGGATTATCCTTAGCTTATTCACTTAAAAATTTTTAGAAAAAATTTCTCTTTTTTGAAAAAAAAATTATTCATTTTTATCCATTTTTAAATTTTGTGTTTTTTTTAGTGATTAAATATTATCGTTATTCTCAGTTTTCACGGATTATCCTTAGCTTATTCACTTGAAAATTTTTAGAAAAAATTATCTCTTTTTTTAAAAAAAATTATCTCTTTTTTTGAAAAAAAAATTATAATACATTTGAATTTTTTTACCTTTTCGACAGATATGATAAATAACGTTGGTGGAAAAGAAGAATACGTTACATGTGATCAATGTGTTTGTATTTGAAAAATTCCAAAAAGTATTATGATCCATACATTTCTACATTAACATATTTTTCAATGTAAAAATAATAAAATTTCTCTGTGAGAAATCGAATCTTCAAAATTTGAGAATGCAATCGAAAATATATATATTTTTTACGACATTTTTATTTTAAATTTTTAATTTTATTATTATTATTATTATTATTATTTTCATTGTGGACTTTTTCATCTTTTTTGTATCAAAAAAGATAATTTTTATTCATTGCATTTTTCTGTACAACTCTTATAATCTTCCCAGCAAGTAATACCACTTAAATTTCTACACTCAGCATTTTTGTCTAAACATATTTCATTACATTCTTTGGCAGCTTCTTTTGTCCTACATGATTTAAAATTTTTTGAACATGCTGTGATTGCATTTGAATATATATTTGGATGTTTAATCAAGCATTCAGCAAACAACTTGCTTAAACCTGTAAAATTAATATACTTGAAATAAAAAGTACAAAAAAATTGAATATAAACTATGATTTCATTATATTATATTAAGATAGTTTGACATACCTAATAGATCTTTCCATACAATTTTTAAGTGAACAGGTGTCTTTCAACTAAACCAAAATACCTTCACACTCAACTATAGCTTCCTGTAGTAACTGTTCACACAAAGCTCAAAGATACCAATATTCATTTGCCCTCACTCTTCCTTTACTCAATGAATCTGAAGCTCCATATATTAGAAGACACCAATCTAATTTTTTCAATCTAATCAACTTTTTGATGAATTCCCAAATATGTTCTGACCAAACAAATATGGTAGATAGTCAAATAGTTCTAGATGAAAAAATTAAGAATTATACCACAAAACCCCTGTATTATTCAAATTCGAGCATTTTTTTAGACAAGTATTAGAAAGATGAAAAAAATTATTAAACTAAACAGGTAATTAATTAAAAATAATAAAATCATAGATAAGTTTTGGCTTTTTTGTTTTAATTGCTAACCATGAATTTTTGACTTACCCTTTCAATAAGAATGGTGCAAAGGTTAACACGACTTTTATTAATTTATTTTTAAAAGAATTTTTAGTAATTTAATTTTGATTATTAAATTTTTGATTATTTAATTTTTGTTTAAGTTTTGGCCCTGGATGTAGTGAAAATTTAAAATTTCCAAAAAAGCCTGGATGGCTTTTGCTTTTTAAAAATATATTGGAATGTTTATTCCATTTTATTATTTTATTAATTATAAGACCTAAGTTATCTGAATTGACCAGATATTACTTGAAGCAAAATTAAACCGTTGCAATTTGGTTGAATAAATTGAATTATTCTGAGGTAACTTAATTTATTATTGCAAGAATAATAAATTTCCGGAGATCCAACTTTCTTTTAAGGTGGTGTTACTTCATAAAAGATGCCCGCATCTTAGCTAATGGAATATGAATTAAACATTACAGCCCTTGGCAGTTTAGCATAGCATAAGTTTCATCTTGTACGGAGAACCTTGGGTTAGTGTTTCCTTGCAAAGGAAACCTTCTATCCAGTTAAATAGCACGTATACAGCTCGGTATAACTTTAGTGCATTAGCGTAGAGTCTTGTTAATCCTTTCGGTTGACTATGGATATGTACAGATGCCATATATATCTTTTATTTAGAATAAAATGATATATTGTATTAAAAAAAAAAAAAAAGAAAAAAAGAAAAATGAAAAATAAAAAAAAGAAAAATAAAGTGGTAATATTTAATAAATGTGAACATTCGTTTTCGAATGAATCATTTATTGGTGGTAAATAAAGTGGCAGGTTTAATTTTTGGTAGATAATAGTGGTAGGGTCTGATGAATTTAAGGTATAATTTCATCATCTAGTTTAATGGTAAAAATGTTAGTAACATTGCATTAAAATCAACATAAAGTGGTATACTATTTGGTTGTAAGCCAAATGGTTCTGGAATTGTGAATTTTGGTTTTAATATTCCTTTTTCGATGTTGATTTTAATAATGTTTTGTTTGGATGATTTTTTAGGAAAATATTTCTTGTCAAATCATTTGTGAATGTTGTGGTAGTATTATCTTTGGTTCTGTTTACCTTAGATGCACCAGTGTAGTTTTGGATTATACTGGTTATGTTGTGATGTGGTGTAGTTTTTGTTTCAAAAAAAAGAATTTATTCATTATTATTAATAATATTTTTTAAAAATTTTTTTTGAAAATTTGTGTTTAATTTATATGATGATTTTGGATGGTAATTTTTGTTTTAATAGTTCTGGTTTTTTAGTATGTTAAAAGTGTTATTTAGGTGACCAGACTTATTAAATTTTGGAATACATTTTAGGTATTCTGGATAAGTATTTTAAAGAGTATTTAGTGAATAAAATGGATTTTGAGCAGAATGTTGATTATTTTGTGGTGGAATAATGCAATTATTAGTATCCAAGTTATCATCACCATTATTTTGATTATTATTTTTTTAAAATTTGTTTGTGAATGAATAAATAAAAGAGATACACCGATCAACTAGTGAGATCTCAATTAGATTTCGTCTACTTAAAAAAGTTTTAAAAAATCAAAGAAAATTTTGGATTTATTTAAAACAGTTAATGAAAGTGTATGTGGTGATATATGTAGATTATATAAAAATCAACAAAAGTGTGTAAAAATAAAATGAATTGTATATAAAGTGATAAATATCATTAAAAAAATGAATGATGTTGTAATTAGTGGTAATTAATTATAGTTAAAGATATGGTAATAATAACTATAATAAAAAAGTGTTGATACACTAATGGTATGTAAATTTTGTGTATAAAAGCCTGGATGGCTTTTTTGCTTTTTAAAAATATATTGGAATGTTTATTCCATTTTATTATTTTATTAATTATAAGATCTAAGTATCTGAATTGACCAGATATTACTTGAAGCAAAATTTAACCGTTGCAATTTTGGTTGAATAAATTGAATTATTCTGAGGTAACTTAATTTATTATTTCAAGAATAATAGATTTCCGGAGATCCAACTTTCTTTTAAGGTGGTGTTACTTCATAAAAGATGCCCGCATCTTAGCTAATAGAATATGAATTAAACATTACAGCCCTTGGCAGTTTAGCATAGCATAAGTTTCATCTTGTACGGAGAACCTTGGGTTAGTGTTTCCTTGCAAAGGAAACCTTCTATCCAGTTAAGTAGCACGTATACAGCTCGGTATAACTTTAGTGCATTGGAGTAGAGTCTTGTTAATCCTTTCGGTTGACTATGGATTTGTACAGATGCCATATATATCTTTTATTTAGAATAAAATGATATATTGTTTTTAAAAAAAAAAAAAAAAAAATGAAAAAAAGAAAAATGAAAAAGAAAGAAAAAGAAAAAATAAAAAAGTGGTAATATTTATAAGTTTGTGTCGTTTTGTGGTTTTTCTATTAATAGATTGAGTGGTTTGTTTTTGTTGATGATTTTTGTTAGTATTAATTGGTTTCTGTTGCATATTTGGTTTGTGCAAAAAGATGTAAATTCAATGATTTCCTTTTCGTTAAATTTACAATGATTCTTTAGCATTTTAACCAAATGTTTTGGGACATAACCTATTGCACTAGATAGAATATTATTTTCAGTGAATAATTTATTTTTAAATATGTTATTTTGTGAGATGTTTGTGGAATTGTAATTATCAAACCAGCTTAATGTTTCTATGTTTGGAGATGAGTTTTTGAGTGTACTGGATAGAGATAATAGTTTGTTTGTAATGATTCTCTTTGTATCAGATCTTATTGTTTCAAAGTCTGTGCAGTCTAATAGTATATGTTTTAATGTTTGTGGTATATCATTATTACAGTTTTTACAGTTTGAGTTAAACTCTGGTTTTAGCAACCTCATTCTTTTCCATGTATCTAGCCATGGACCATTATTAGTTATTAATTTGTTCATTAATGTATAGAATTTTGATGGTAGGTTATCTAATATTTTAAGGTGAATGTAAGTATCAGTGTTTTTTATGGTATCAAGTAGTATGATGCTTTGGTGTTTATATTGATTAATTGTGTTAATTCTATTATTTTCATTTAACATTTTAACATATTTTTTTGGGTTCCAAATAACTTTTTTGCTATTTTTTTTGGTTCTTTTATATGCAAATGTTGGTGGTATATAATTATTTGAAATTGGTAGGGTTAATGCTTTTTTTGCTAGCTTATCTGCAATTTCATTACCAATTATATTTGAGTGAGCTTTAACTTTAATAAAGTTTGTATTTTTTTCATCAAAGTTATCTCTTTTTAATTTGTATTTAAATAATTTTTTTATAATTTCAAAGAATGGAGTTCCAAAATATTGGATTGGATATGGGTTTTGTATCAATGATTCAATTATGTCAATTGAGACTTGACTATCTGTATTTATGTTTATTTTATGGTTGATTGGATATGATGAAAGAATGTGTGTAGGTGCTGATAATTCGGCTCCTGTTATTGTTTTTGCAGTTCCTTCTATAAAGTTTAAACTTATATTCTCGGATTGGTTATATATACCATAGCCTGCTTTTCTTTTATTGTTAATTTTTTTATATGAACCATCTGTATAGAATTCAGTAGTTATTAGATTACTTTGTCTTATTGATGGGTTGGGGTATATATTTTTGTAGTTGAATTTGTCGTAAGTTGTGATTTTTAAAAGTAAATTCATAAATTCATCTTTTATGTTATTAGTTGAGTTGGTGCAAATTAATCTTTTTAAGATTTTTGAGCATTCATTAGACCATTCTGGTAAATGCTGTGTAATGACATTTTTATCTTGTAATTCATATTTATCATTTAGTTTAATTAATAATGAATTATAATTTATATGGGCTTCTTCGTTGGTATATAATATTATTTCACTGTTTGTTATAAAGTTAAGTGGAATATTATTTAAATTTTTTAAAACAGGAATGTTTTGTGATATTTTAAGGTTGTATTTTTTAATTGAATCGAACCATCTTTTAATAAAAGAATAATCATTTTCAATTATTTTACCTTTTAGATATAGTTTATTTTTATCTCCCTTCCAATGTCTATATTTATTTATAATTTGGGTGAAAGATAAAATTGTTTGTTTCTCATTTGTGTTTAGACATTTGCAAAGGTTATGTATTCTGTTCTGATGAATAATATTATTCAAATCGAACAGTTGGTAGCCTAAGTTTTCCTTTTTTAAGTAAAAGAAATTTGATATTGTATTTTTAAAGTAATTACCACTTTTTTTTATTGCTCCTAGGATTTCTTTTTTAAAGTTGTCTATGGATGTTTGGGTGTATTTGGTTATGGCAGTACCATAGGTAACTATTGGAATTACCATTGAGTTAATTGTGTCAACTAGTTGTGATGTTAATAAACATTTTCTTTTTAAATTGTTTAAAACACCTTTTGCTTTTTTAAATGTTATTTTTTGGTGATCCATCCAATCTAGTTCTAGATTTATGTTAACACCTAAATATTTATATGATTGGTTTAATTTCAATATTGGAAAAGATTTATCTTTCCATTTTAATTCGTATGTGAGATGTTGGTTTAGTTCATTTTGTCTAAATGTATATGCTGATTTTCCAACATTTACATTTAAATAATAATAGTCCAGGAATTCTCCAATGTAATCTTTTAGTTTAGATATTTGTGAAAATGATTCAGTTGTGCCAACCAAGTCATCAGCAAATGTATTATTTGATATTCCTAAGTTTTGGTTATTAATAATTCTATAACCAATTACATTAGTGTTTAGTAGATTTAATAAAGGATCAAAAAATAGACCCCAAAGAAATGGGGATAATGGATGACCTTGAATAACTCCTTTAGTTACATAAATATCGTTAGTCATACCATGTGGTGTGATAATTTTCATATTATTACCTGATAGAAAATCAGATATAATATCTATTGTTTCTTGTGGGTAACCTCTATATTCTAATGCTTCGATTAATGCCCAATGTGGTACTTCATCAAAAGCTTTTTGTATGTCAATATATAATACATGAAGTTCTCTTTTATTGATTTTTGAGTCTAAAAAGATGTTGTTCAGTACTGATATTGGTGATATTGTTGAACGTCTAGGTCTAAATCCATATTGGGATTCTTAAAAAGGACAATTTAGTTCGGTATAATTTTGTATTAGTTTAGTGAACATTGTAGCGTATAATTTATAAAAGTTACTTAAAATAGTTAGATAATGATTGATTGTTACCATTTTTATAGATTGTGTATATTTTACTTTTTTTCCATGAAGGTGGTATTTTTTTTAAGTTTTTACAACAGTTAAAAATGTTAAGTAAAATAAATAAACCTGATTCAGGTAAATTTTTAATATATTCGTTTAATATTTCATCAACCCCTGCTGCTTTATTATTTGATAATAAAGAAATTGTTGAGGTTAAGTCATTTAAATTAAAATTATTTAATAATTTTCTTTTGTAAAATTCATTTTTAAACCATTTATCACTACCTTTGAATGGGATTTCGTACCATTTTTGGTTGTTGAATATTGGTTTTGATTTATTTTGTGGTGATTCATTTAATAAGTTTTTAAAATATTTTTCATATTCTTTTTTTACTAATGTTGGGTTGGAAATTATATTATTGTCAACTGCAACACAGGATGCTTGTTGGTTTGTTTTATATTTATCTTTTTTTATTAAATTATAAAATTCTTTATTCCTTGATCTTTTTAATTTTTCAAGTTTATCTTTGTAATTTTTAATTGAATCATAATTTGATTCCTTTTTGTTTTTATATAAGTTTTGAATGTATATTTTTTTAATTTCAATTAATGATTTTAAAATATTATCTATTAATTGAATATCATTTGTAGAAGGAGATGTACTTAATGTACAGAAATATTTAAATTCAAACCAGTTGTCGTTATGGTCTGTTAGGGTATCATTTATTATTGATTGTAGTTTATCAAATTTTGGTAGTAATTTTTTTTTTGTTTTAGAAATTTTTAATTGAATGTCATTTTTGATTTTTGATTTTAGTGAATCAATAATTTGGTAACAATCATGTAGTTTATTAATGATTTTTTTAAAAAATAAATCATTTTTTAAGAATATGTCATTTTTTTCTTTTGGTGGTTTAGTCCATTTTAAATTATTGTTGGCTGAATTTAAAATAGTTTCAGTGAATATATTTATAAGATTTTGAAGATCAATTAGAGAATTTAAATTTTCTGATTCAGTTTCCAATTGGATTAGATCAGTTGATAATTGTTTTTTAAATTCACTAAAATCTTGTTGTTCATATGGTAAAAGTTTTTTAATAAAATTTTTATTATTATTTTCGATTGTAAAATTTAAATTTTCATTGTTTATAAAGTTAATGTTAATAGATATTTTAACAGGTTTATGATCACTTGATATTTTTGAATGTGATAGGATTTTATAAGAGTTTATTAAGTGTTTGTTTTTTATGTCTAATAGATGTGCATCTATTCTTGATTTAGTTGTGTAATCATCTCTAATGGTTATACATGTATACTCTTTGTAAGTGTTAAAATCATGATAAAAGTCCATTAAATTATTTTCTTCAAGAAATTTATTATAAGGGACAGTTGAATCATTATTAACATGATTGTTTGGATTTGATATTTTATCAAGATTAGGTTGGTAAAATGAATTAAAATCACCTGATAGTATTATAATATTTTCTGGTGATTCTAAATTAAAGTTTGTGTTAATTTTGTTTAAACAATTTTTTAGTTTTATATTAAAAAAGTTATTTTTTTTTGATTCTTCTGATTCACCATAGCAATTTAATATACCCAGTTTGCCATTATCAAATTTGAATGATAGAAACAGTAATCTACCTTGTTAATCTTTGACGATGTCATTATGGATTAAATTGTTTAGTAAATTTTTATGAATAATAGTAGCAACACCTGATTGTGCTTTATATGATAACTCTTTATTTTCAAATTTATTTAATATAGATAGTTCATCATTATTTAATGAATTTCTAGATTTAGTTAATAGTGTTGTAATGTCATTTTTATATGTATGATCAATTGAAGAAAAGAAGATAGTAAAATCAGTTTTTTCAAATAAGTTATTTAAATTTTTAATTTCATCACGAGTAAATAATTTAGTTTCTTGTATACAAATAATTTTTATATTCTTTTTTATAGAAAGTTTAATAATATTTTTTAGTTTAGAGGTGAAATCACCATTAATGTTAAAAGACAATATATTTAAATTTTTAAAATTAATGTTTATTTTATTAGAGTTTTGTGAATTTAATAAATCAAAATGGACATCATCGTGAACAGGATTATTATAATTATTATTATTATTCTCTTCCATTATTATATGTACGATGTCTTTTGTTGTTTTTGTGGTGGTTTTTGTTGTTGTTGATTGGCTGTTCTTGCTGTGGCATTGTGATAATAAAATCTTTTAGTTCATGTTTTGATTTTTTATTAAATTTTTTTAATAAATTAAAATATTCAATTATTGTTTCTGAAATTTTATTGTTTGTGCATGTTGAACATTTTACGACATGTAAAAGATCTTCAATATCTGTGTAGTTGCAAATGATGGCGGCCCTAAATCCTAATAGTGGTTGGATTTGAATGATTAAATTTTTTAATAAGTGTGAGCATTCGTTTTCGAATGAATTAATTTTTTCGTCGGTGGTAAGTAGAGAGGTAGGTAATGTAGTGGTATGATCTAATGAAATTAAAGATATAATTTCATCATTTAATTTGGTGGAGCCAATATGAGTTAACCATAAATCAAGTTTTAGTTGTTTACTTGGGTTAAGTGGTTTGTTACAAATTGAGAATTTGTTAAGTAGAACATGTTGATTTTTGGTGTAGATGAACGATTCAATATTAATTGTACAATCGTCTAGGATAATGGTGTTTGACTTTAGTGGACCAAGATTTAAATGTGTTGATCTTAAGGTGAAGTGGTGGTGGTTGCTTTTTGTGGAGAAAGTGTCAAAATTAGAGTTGGGGATTATGTTTACGATCTTGTTAAACAATGGTAATATTATTTCCATATGATTGTGTTGAGGTGTCGATACGCCATAAGATAGTTGGAATTCTTTTCTTGGGATAGATATTACTATGGGAGCTCTGATGAACTGGTGTTTATATGGTTATTATTATGGAAGAGAAATAGTGATCTTTCTAAGCATGAGTTAAATTTTAGTGTTAAATGATTAATAGTGACCGATTGGTCAAATTTATCAGTTTGAAAGTTGTTTATTTGGGTGATATATTTGAGTGTTGTTGGATTGAATTTTTTGATTAATATTTGTGATGATATTGCATTAAAATCAATATAAAGGGATATATTATCTGGTTGTAGGCCAAATGGTTCTGGAACTGTGAATTTAAGTTCTAGGATTTCTTTTCCAGAGTTGATTTTAATAATATTTTGATTTGAAAGACTTTTTAGGAAAATGTCTCTTGACATATCATTTGTAAATGTTACAATAATTTTGTCCTTTGTTTGGTTTACTTCAGGCGCACCGGTAAAGTTTTGGATTATGGTGATTATGTTGGGATGTTGTGTAGTTGGTGGTTCAAAAAAGAGGATTGGTTCATTATTCTTAATAATATTATTTAAAATATTTTTTTTAAAATTTGGGGTCGAAATAAATGATGTGTTTGGATGGTAATTTTTGTTTTTATAATTTTGGGTTTTTGATATGTTTAAAGTGTTAAATGGGTTATGAGATTTATTAAGTTTTGGAGTACTTTTTGGGTATTCTGGGTGGGTGTTTTGGTGAGTATTTGGTGTAGAAAATGGATTTTGGGCAGAATGTTGGTTATTTTGAGGTGGGATGGTACAATCAATAGTATCCATGTTGCCACCATCATCAATTTGATTATTATTTGTGGACATTTTGTTTGTGAATTTATAAATAAAAGAGATACAACGATAAGCAGGAGAGATTTCAATTAGATTCCGTCTACTTAAAAAAGTTTTAAAAAATCAAAGAAAATTTTGGATTTATTTAAAACAGTTAATGAAAGTGTATGTGGTGATATATGTAGATTATATAAAAATCAACAAAAGTGTGTAAAAATAAAATGAATTGTATAAAAAGTGGTAAATAAGGTTAAAAAAATGAATGATGTTGTGATTGGTGGTAATAAATTACAGTTGTTCGCAAAAGTTTTGACCCCCTAATAAAAAACATTAGAAAAAAAATTAAATTTTAATCTTTTCTTAGGTTTTTGACTATAAATCCATTTTAAAAATATTTATAGATAAACTTATACGGTTTTTTTATATTTTTTTTGTTAAATAAAATTTTAAAATTTATTTTTTTAAAAAAATTTTTTTAATTTTTTTTTTATAGCGCCCATATAAAATGGGGTCTAAATTTTTGAGAAGATAATTCAATTTTATTATAATTTTTTATTTTTATTTTAATTTTTTTTTAAAAACAAATAGGACAGTATATTCATAAAAAATAGAAAAAAAAAACAATATTGACCCTTTTTTTAGAGTTAATAAAAATGATATTAAAAATTTACAAAAAAGAAAAAAATCATCAAAAAGTTAAAGATATATTGAGTGAAGTAGGTCCACAGTTAAGGGAATTTTTTAAAAAAAATCTAGAAAAAGGTGCAATTGAAGAAAATACAATACCTGGCATAATAAGAAAGATGGACGACCGAATTGAAAGACATTGTAGAAAATAAATTTGAAATGGGAAATGTCATAATTTAAGTAATATAAAAAGATATCTTAGAAAAAACTTTCAAAAAAATGTTTCAATAAGTTCAAATAGTAGGTCTCTACAACATAATAATGTTTTTTTTAAAAGTTTAAAATGTAAACACTTTCCAACCGAAAAATATATGTCTCAAAGCTAAGGTGGGTAAAAAAGTGCCAAAAATGGGCAGCTGAAAATTGGGAAAAGGGTAATATTTGTTGATGAAACCAGAATTGAAGGATTTTCTTATTAATTGAAAACTAAAAAATGGATTCATGGTACAAGAAACCTTAAACAAAACATATTGGCCAAACGAAGATGAGGTGGCAGCTCAATATATACATGATGTTGTTGCACAGCTCTTAGTGCAGGTCGTATATGTATTATCAGGTTTAACACAAATGCTGCAAAATATTTAAAAATTTTAATACAGGGTTATAGAAGAACTTTACGAGAGAATTGAATTTTATCTGGTCATATGTTTCTTTTACAAGATAATTGCTCTATTCATATGACCTAATTTTTGGCCGATTTTTAAGAAAAAATGCACATTAGGGTGATATTTATTTTACCCTGTTCACCAGATCTTAATATTATTGAGAATATATGGTCAATAGTAAAACAACGTATAAAATTGATTTCTATCGGGTACCCACGTCATAATTTCAATCTATTAATTTGTTGAATTTTAAAAAATATTCATCAGGATATATTTGATAATCTTTATGAATCAACCTCAATAAAAATACAACAAATAAATAAGAACTAAGGTGAATTAACAAAATATTAAGAAACAAACCATTAAAAAAAAAATTTCGTATAAAAAATAAATTATATATTATAATTTTAATTATCTTTTTAAAAATAATGAACCCATTTTTTTTTTTTATGCAAAAAAAAAAAAAAAAAAAATTTTCAAAAAAAAAAATTTTTATTTTATTTTTTTTTTATAAAAAAATATAGTTCAGATGTTCTAAAATTTATTTTATATTTTTTAGAATAATTGAAATTAAAGATATTGAAGATAAATAAAAATAAAAAAATTTTAAAAAAGGGGGTCAAAACTTTTGCGAAGAACTGTATAGTTAAAGATATGATAATAACGACTATAATAAAAAAGTATGTGTACACTGGTGGTATGTAAAATGTAGTATATGACCCCCATAAGGTTTGAACATATAAAGTAGGAGTTCAAATTAATGGTATAAATTAAGAAATTTCCCTTTTGCTAAGTTGGTCACCTCACGCCTTATTTTGCGCATAGTGCACTTTATTACAAAAATTTGTGTAAAAAAGCCTGGATGGCTCAGTAGGCAGAGCGAGCGGCTGTTAACCGCTAGGTCCATGGTTCGATCCCATGTCTAGGCGATTTTTTGTTAAACTTTATCTTTTTGGAGATCAATAGCCCTTAATTGGGGAGAAATGATAGTAAAGTTGTCAAACAAATTTCCCACGATGTAATGTAAATAAACTTTTATATTCAAAAAAAGTATATTTATTTGATTATTAGAATTATTTATATTTATTATTCATCAAAAAAAGAATTTTTGGGGGGGTTGTAAAAATAAAAATTATAAAAACTTTTTAGTTTTCGAATTTTACAAAAACATAAACATTTCATATAAATTTTTTTTTATTTATTTATTTGATCTTAGTACACATTTTATGCAGTGTGAAGTATTAAACACATATCAAACACAATAAACAAACTGATGACTTAATACATCATTAAGAATCATCTTCACTTTAAAAAAAAAAAAAAAAAAAAACTTAAATAAAAATTTTCATTTAATCAATCAATTATAATAATTAATAATTTAAATAATTAAAAATAATTAAATTTAAAAAAATTAAAAAATAAAAAATAAAAAAAATAAAATAAAAATTTTTTCGTTTAATTTTCACTTAACAATCATATAATTTTATTATCTTTATTTTTATTGTTTATTTATACTTTAAAGTTCATTTACATTACAATCTTCACTTTAAAAAAAAAAAAAAAAAAAAAACACTTAATTAATAATTTTAAATGATTAAATTTTAAAAAAAAAAAAATTTTTTGTTTATTTTAAACTTTATATTATAATTTATTATCTATATTTTTATTGTTTATTATTTTATATATTAAAATTCTTTTACATTTCATTTCTTTTCAAAAGATAACTTACAATACTGGGCCCATGGTATATGTTAAAGTTCAATTACTACACACAAAATATAAGCAAATATGAAAGAAACTATAAAAATTAGTAAGAGAATTTGTTTTTCCTTTTGTTGTTGCTTTAGTTGTGCCTCTTTTTCTATATATTTATTTTTATTGGTTAGATATTCACATTCCCTTTTCAAAGAATTGTTTTGATTTTCCAGTTGAATTTTTGATTCTTCCTTTTCTTTATTTGAGTTTTTTACTTTTAATTATATAATTTAAATTAATATTAAAATAATTTTAAAGATTATAACTTTAAAGTACTATTACTTACATGTTGATATAATTTTTTTAAACTCTTCAATCTTTTTTAAAGACTCATTCTCTTTTATTGCGGATTCTTTTTCCATATGAGTAAACTGATCTATTCTTTTCCTTTCAATTTCTTTTAAATTTGATATTTCTTTTTTAAATATATAACTTTCTTCTTCTAATTTTTTTTTTTCGATATATAATTTTGAATTTTCTTCTTCCAATCTTAAACATCTATGATAAGGTTCATTAATGTTAGTATCATTCTAATATAAAAAATAAATTAATAATTAAAATTAGATTTATGTTATTTTTTATTATTATTTATTTTTATTATTTTAATGGAAAAACTTACATCTTTATTAATAGGTTCCTTTTTTAATTGAAAAAAATATTCACGAAGAACTTTTAATTGATTAAATACATCTTGTTGGGTTTCTTCAGATTGTTTAAATAGACCATTTATTTGGACACCTAAATCACCAAAATCACCAAAATCTGCAGCTGGTTGGGTATTTTGTTGTTTATGTTTTGTATGTATTGATAATGAGTTTTTACCATACTCATAAAATTCTATATTATTAATAGGATGACCTTCAAACTCATCTTCCATAGAATTTATAATAGGATAGTTTTCCATAAAATTGATCAATTCATTATTTGCTACATTTCCATTTTCATCACAACGAATTCTATTTATTATAGACAATAATTCGGCGCGGTCCAATTCTGGGACCAACTGTTGTATAAGGATTTCTAATTCTGGTTGTGTTTGATAGCCTTCTGGATTGTCTATTATTTTTTGTAACTTTTCCTCAACATCTGAATTGTCTTTATAAGAACTATTGGGATTATATTGAATTTGATCGTAATCATCTTGTTGTTGCTGTTGTTTTGCTGGAGATGGGAATGATATGTCTGCATTATGTTTTCTAATCGTATAATGAGGTGATGGTGGTACCATTCCAGTCTCTTGAGGATTTACACCGTAATTAGTTGATGATGACAATGATGAGGATGAAGAGGATGGGACATTAGCATTTTGAAGTTGAAGAAAAGAGGGTCTCGATTTTTTTTCACTATTAATAGTTCTAATATTAAAAGTTCTGGCTAGGGTTTTTGATGGTGAGTCTAAGGGTGATTTATTAACTGATAACAATTTTTCTACATTTTGGTGTTGTTCATGCAGAGATGTAGTTGCAGTATCTGGCTTGGAAGTTATATCCATTTTTTATTGTAAATATTTTTCCTATTATATTCAAAATTATATATTTAAAAAAAAAAAAAGTAATTATTTATTATTATTTTTTTTAATATATATCTTGATATTGATTAAAATTATGAAATAATATAATAAAAAAAAGACAGAAAAAATACAATTTTTTTTTTTTAATTTTTTCTTATTTTTTAAAAAAAAATTAAATTTAAATTTTTTTATTATTTTTAAGTTTTTTACTTTAAGTGTCAATAAAACTTAAAAAAAATTTTCGAAATATTTCAAAAATCTAGTCCTTTCAATAAAAAGATAATATGATTTTGAGTTTAAATACATAAATATATTTAAAAATTTCCTATCACCCGCTCACCCATTTACTATTACATATAAATTGTAAGCTAATATTTATATGCCAACTATTATTATTGTTGTAAAATACCTGAATATAAAAATAACGATCAAATTGTATGCTATTGGTGAAAAAAAGCCGTCTATAGTAATTGAATTTAGTGTGGTATTGGGGTGAAATGAAAGAAATCTTTTTTTTTATTTAATTTAAAAAAATATAAGCACTTTTTTTTTTCAAGTGTTTTATATCAAAATGTATATTATAAAACATAATTATTAAATAAATAATAATAATAATAATCATGAAACTATTGCAATATTTATATAATTATTATTAAAATGATTTTTTTTTTTTTTTTAATATTTTATTTTAATTTGTGGTGTGAGTTAGGGGTATGTGGGATCTTAATGATGGAGATATTAATGAAAAAAGCTATCTATAGTAATTGAATTTAGTGTAGTAATGGGATGAAATGAAAGAAATCTTGATTTTTTTATTTAATTTAAAAAAATATAAGCACATATGAAACCAAAAAAAAATATATAAAAAAATGAGAAATATAGATGTGGCTTTTGTTGTTGTTTTTTTTGTACTTCATTTTCTACATTTCCAATTTGAATGATTAGATTTTCATATTCCCTTGTCAAAGAATTGTTTTTATTTATTTGTTCTTTTAGTTTATTTTCCAATTCATTAATTTTTGATAATGATTCTTTTTCTATATCTTCTACTTTATGTTTGTATTCTTCTTCAATAGAAGTAAACTGATATTCTCTATTCTTTGATTTAACTTTAAACTTTAAAATTTCTTTTTCTAATCTTTCGATTTCTAAATATAAACATCTAATCTTAATATCAGCTTCTTTAATTTTTTTCTATTATAAACAATAAATTATAATTAATATTGGATTTATGTTATTATTAATTATTAATTATTAATTATTTATTATTTATTATTTGTTTGGGAATACATACATCTTTATAAATCTGGGGTTCTTTTTTTAATTGATTAACTTCATCTTGAAGTTGTTGATTAGGTTTTGTATGTTTTGATAATGAGTTTTTACCATTTTCATAAAATTCTATATTATTAATGGGATGACCTTCAAACTCATCTTCCAAAGAATCTAGAGTAATATGGTTTTCCATAAAACTTATCAATACATTGTTTTTTATATTTCCATATTCATCACAACGAATACTATCTATTATAGACAAAACTCCTGCTCGGTCAAATTCTGGGATCAACTGTTGTATAAGGATTTCTAATTCTGGTTGAGTTTGATAGCCTTCTGGATTTTCTATTATTTTTTGTAACTTTTCCTCAACATCAGAATTGTCTTTATAAGAACTATTGGGTTTATTTTGAATTTGATCGTAATCATCTTGTTGTTGTTTTACTGGAGATGGGAATGATGTTTCTAGGTTATGTTTTCTAACCGAATAATGAGGTGATGGTGGTACCATTCCAGTTTCTTGAGGATTGACACCACTATTTTTTGATGATGAATAGGAAGGAACATTAGCATTTAGAAGTTGAACAAAAGAGGGTCTCGAATTTGTTACACTAAAAGCTCTGGCTAAGGTTTTTGATGGTGAGTCTAAAGGAAAACTATTAACTGATGCATAGTTATTGATCAATTGTTTTGAATGTCTTTTATTTTCATTATTTGTTTCTAAATCATTTATTTTTAATTCTTTTCTATCAAAACCATCACTGTTTCTTTTTAAATTTGTTTTTGTTGTTGTACAAACTGAGGATGAGAAGTTTGTGGTTAATTTTGATGATCCATATGTATCAAGATTGTGATTATTCATAGTATCGTTTTGAATATTATTATTATTATTAATAATATTATCTTTATCATTAGGGTTTTGAATTAATTCAATACTTTTTAATAATTCATCAATCATATTTTTATAATTAATATCTTCGTTTGGTTTTTTCTCTACACTTTGGTGTTGTTGATCCAGAGATGTAGTTGAAGTATCTGGCTTCGAAATTGTATCCATTTTTACTGTAAATATTTTTCTATTATAGAATATAATATATTTATTTTAAAACAAAAAAGTTATTGAGAAATTTTTTATTATTATTTTTTTATTATAATTTGTGATTTACTAAAATTATGAATAGTTTATTATCACTAAATAATTAATTAAATAAATAATGTGTTTTAAATAAAATAATAGACAATATTTTTTTTTTTAAATTTTTTAAAAATCAATTTTTTCTTATTTTTAAATCAAAAAAAATTTATTTTTTTTATTTTTTTTAACTTTTTTAAAATTAAATCAAAATTTATTGGTACTTATTGAAGTTCATAAATATTTATATTAGTTTTATATAAATTAATAATTTTAAACCAAAATAAAATTGATAGTAAATTTTAATATAATAAACACCAACTTTTTTGTAATCGGAAAATTTTAAATATATGAAGGGGAAGAATACGATCCAGATTTAAAATCATAGAACTAGCCTTTAGGAAATATAAGCCAGATTTGATTGAAAGGAAAATAGATCTTCAATTGAAACTTAACAATAACCACAATAATTAGCCTCCTTAAAATACAACCAATAACAATAGAACCAAAGTAGTTTTAACAAATGGCGTTACTGTGACCAAACTTATATGCAGTGTTGTAAACTCATACAAGTATAAAACATTTACCAAAAAACAAAAACAAAACACAATAAATAAAAACCATCCTCACTTTTAAAAAAAAAACTATGAAAAGAATTGATTATACTACTTCCTAAAACTATATCATTATACTTAATGATATAATTTATATTAGTAGATGAGGTATTGTTCATTTAAATTTTAAGTAGTACAAAAAAAGTAAATGAATTTATGAGCCAAGTGATCATTTTAAAAATCACCTTTACACTTTTTAAAAAAAAAAATAACCTAATAAACATTCCTTCTATCGTTTGGTGTGCAAGGTCTGCTATCTGAAATTTTAAAAATCTGATCACTATAGTAATTTTATCTTTATAAACACACCTTTTATTTCATTATTTTTGGTGTTATTTTTGTTGAAAATTAAAAAAAAAAAAAAAATTTAATACATTTAAAAAAAAAAAATTTTAAAATAAAAAAAAAAAAAATATAAATTTTTTTTTTAAATTTTTCATTTTTTTTAATTTTTTTTTTTAATTTACAGCAATATTAAAACTATAAAGTGTTGCATTTCTTGTTTTTTCATAATAAATATAAAAATAGAAAAATTATAAATTTCTTTGAATTAAAATAATAAAGCAAGGGTTTCTTGTTTTTTTTTTTTTTTAAAAAAAAAAAAAAACAAGAAATTTAAAATGACCAAAGCACCAAACGAAAATATTGGTTCTAATACTGGAACATCTGCATCATCATCGTCCTCATCAACATCTACATCAATTCCAGCAAACCCTACCAATAATATTATAAATTTACCAACACCTTATGATATATCATACGAAAGAATCGACTTAGCACCATTAAAAAAACAACTAGATGCTGTATTAAAAGATAGATCAGAAGATTATTGGGAATGGATACGTAGGTTTTTAGCCGGTAAGCTTTCTAAAAGAGAATTAGACTATTATGTTCAAACAAATTTAACAGAAGCATATTGTAAATATACAAATAATTAAAAACTATAAACTCTGTGACAAATATATTAATATTTTTATATTTATTACATAGTACATTTACATAATCAGTTTTTTAAAGCAGTTATTTTTAATGCATTCTATTCTAAAACATCACCACCACCAATTATGGAATCAGCTAAATCCGCACAAACAGCATCAGCATTGGATAAAAAAAGAAAACAGCCATCAACAGCCGTCAAACCAAACAAAAAAGAATCGAAAAAAAGAAAAGATGGATTACCAACAACTTCACCAACAGTTGCATCTACCAGTCCAATACCAGCTGCTAGCACTGCTGCAACTCCCTCGACATCATCAAACAAATCTATTAAAAAGACTCCATCAAACAAAACAATTAAAAAACCACAATCTTCAAGTTCAAAGCTCTCAAAACAAAAAAAGAAATACTATCCAAAATGTGAGTATTTAAATAATTTATATCCATATGAACCAACAAACTAATTTTTTATTTATTTCTTAGACTCTTTATATTCATCACAATTACAAACACTTAAAGAAAAAATGGAAACCATTGCCAGTGAACATGGCCTCGAAGGTATTTCGAAACAATCGATTATATATATGAAATTAGCTTTGGAGCAACATATCATTAATTTTGTAAATAGGACCAAACCTCATCTTATATCTAAAAATGTTGAACCACCACTACAACCAAATCAGGTGATACCACAATTTTTAAATTTTGATAATACAGACAACAATAATAATAACTTTAATATAGATAATAATATTAATAGTAAAAATAATATAGATAATTATAATATGGACACCAGTGGTAATAGTTATAATGAATTTTTAGAAAATAGTGACAATACAAACGATAAACCAAGCACTAATATGGATGTAAATATACAAGAAAGTAATAATAATAATAATAATAATGAAAACAAAGATCAAACTATGACCGATAATCAAAATACCAATATTAATGATAACAACCAAGCTAAAGATCCAACTATACCTTACAATATAGATAATAACTATCAAAGTAATAATACTATAAACAACTATAATAATTATAATATGGATATCAGTAATAATAATAACAATAATAATAATAATAAAGTTTTCAAATTCAGTGATGTATTTAATTTTAAAAAACCAATAGAAGAATTAAAAGTTAGTTATCCAAAATATGTAGAATCAAATAACCCATATCTATCACAACCAATATCCTTTTACAAGATACCAGAAAATATATTTTCGTCATCCAGAACAAAAGAATGTGAGTCAATTATTTCAACTCAAGATTTATTTACAATGATAGAAGAAAATCCACAAATATTAAGAGACGACCAACTATCATATGAAAGAATTAATTTATTGCGATATTAAAGTTATTCTGTACGAATAAATAAGAGTTGTTTATTAGAAGGTTTTGCTGGCATATTAAGGCAAAAGAAAATATTAATAACACAATAAAACTTTTTCTATAAATAACTTTTAAAGTCCAAAATAATTTATAAATAAATTTTTTTTGATTGTAAAATAAAAAGCCACACATTTTTTTTTTTAACATTTTTTTATTTATTTAAGTATTTTTATTATTATTATTACATGGATAAAGAGAGATATGATATTATATTATATTATATTACTTTTTTGTACTATTACTTTTTATTATTACTATTATTATTTTTTAATAATGAATTTTTAATTAAAAAAACTAAAAAAAAAAAAATATATTGGATTTTTTAAATTTATATATTATTAATTGATTGGGTTTGATTAAACAAAAAATTGTGAAGGTTGTTTTGAATTTTTAGTTAATTTAATTGTTTTATATTTGGTAACTGGTGATTTAGAACCAGCTTCAGCTTGATTTAATGATTGAGTTGAATTTGCGTTAAATTTATCGGTTTGTTCTTTGAGAGAAGCTACAACTTTAGAGAGTGTTTCGTAATCGTCATGTTTTGGTCTGGTATATTGAAGAAGTTCACGAAGAGTTAAATAATATTTTGAAACTCTACGAAGTGGTGTTGCTAATAATACTCTAAGTTCGGCATTTTGATCAGACTCGAGACGTTTTAAGTGAATAGCAAACAATGGATATTTTTCAATACAAAGTTCCAATACTTGAAGAGAACGGGTGTGATTTTGGACATAATAATTATACAATTTTAAGAAACCAGCCTTTTCTAAAAAGATATCGCTCATAATTGGTTTTTCTTGCCATTGAGCAGCACGCTCTTTAAGGGCAATAAGGAAAGTTTTGTGGCAATTGAAAAGTGTCTCGAAATTACTACTGATTTCTAAATTCTCTTGGTATGAGACTAACTGATTTGGTGTGTCAAGTGATTTTTTGATTGGATGTAAAAATACATTATATATATAAGTAAGAGAGTCAAGATATTCCTCTTCACTAATTGCTAATTCTTGTGCTAATTTTTCTTTCTTTAAGCTATTCTTTTCATCTTGAATCTTATTGAAACCTTTACTACCTTCGTTGAGTGTTGTAGATTCACCAAATGCTGATTGAATGAGATCTTGTCTTGCCATATCAATTGCTTCCTTAATTTCCTTGGTCCAATGCTCTCTTTCGCTTACACCATCGGCCGAGAATTTAAATGTACCTTCTTGTGACATTACTTTAAGAATATTTGGTTCATCTGTAGTGTTTAATGAGGCTGTAGAAAGGTTGATAAGGTGTTTGAATTTCTTCTTTTCTTTACCTGGTTTAGTGAGGAGTAAAGCATCAGAGAATAAAAATACATAATATTTATCTTTCTTTAAAAAGAGTGGACCCTCTGCAAGATATTTTTTACGAAGAGCCATAGTATTTGCTGGTAAATCTTTAATTTGATCTTGAATTTGAAGCAATTTAGTATTGTTATCTTCTTCAGATTTCTTTGTGTTGATAGACTCTGTTAAATCTTTAATAGTTGAAAGAGCATCACAAAGTTGATTAAAATCTTCATGATCATTACCAGTATACTTGAGAAGATCGGTGAGTAATAACACATATCTTGGGAGACGTTGAATTGGAAGAATAAGGAAAGATTCTAAAGAAAGCTTTGAAAGTTTTTCGCTGTAATCTATTGAGGCCATATAAGTTCTAAATGATTCATATTTTTCTTTGCATTTCTTTAATGTAAGAATAGATTTATCATAATTATTTACATAATGTTTGTATAATTTGATGAATGAAGTATTATTGATAAAAATATCACCCATTTGTGGTTTTTGATCCCATGCTTGCATTCTCTCCTCGATGGGCTTTAAGAGATTACTCTTGTGACTAGTGAGAATAACTTCGAGACAATTGAAAATATCCATAAATTCCTCGCCGGTTAAACCATGGCATTTATTAGTCTTTTTGTATGGTTCAATAAAATTATCGTATACTACAGTTAATTGTTTTACATATGTTTGTTCTGTTGATAACATTTCTTCTGCTCTTTCTTTTCTCTTCTTTTTAATTTCATTTTCTTTTTCGATACTCATTTTCTTTTTATGCATATAACTATCTTTACGATCTAATTTCTTTGGTGGTGGAGGTGGTGGAACTGGAATTGGACTGGATGGAATTGATGCTGGTGGTGGTGGTAATGTAATATTACTAACATCCATTGGTGAAAGTAAACCGCCTGCGTGTTGATCATCAATTTCTGCGAAATTTGGTGGTGGTGGTAATTCATTATTATTTCTGTTACTATCACTATTACTATCATTTACTGGTGGTTCTGGTGAGCATGGTGAAAATGGTGGTGGTGGAAGATTAGATAAATCAATTGGTAAAATATCAGATTGTTTAGTTGGGGTTGTAATTGGTGGTGGGATAACTAAAGTTGAATTATTTAAATTGGATGGTGGTGTATTGAGTGTAGTTGGTGGTGGTGGTGGTGGGAAGTTTGGAATTGAAAGTGGTGGTGGTGGTGGAGGAGTTTCAAGGAATGAACCACTTTTACTACCTCCACTTGATGAGATTGGTGGTGATACATTTCCGCTACTACCTGAAAGTGAACTATTATTTAAAAACTTTGATGGTAAAAGTGGAACACCAAGTGCTGGTGGAACACCAAGTGCTGGAGGTGGAACTACACCGCTAGAGAATGAAAGTTTGTTTGTGCTCATAACCTTAGCTAAATCTGGTGATGCTCCTCCATTTGAAAGGAATGAACCTGGTTTGCTGCCTGATGATTGATTTATGTTGAGACTGCTATTTGATGGACTGCTTGAAGCTGATGGTGCTGTAAAAGCTGTGGATGATGATGATGATAAATTATTACAACTATTATTATTACTATTTGTGAGAGGTGGTGGTACACCAAGTGATGGTGGTGGGGCCATAAATGGTGGTGGAGCCATTAATGGTGGTGGTGCAACTAATTTTGGTGCAATACCCATTACTTTAGTTAAATCTGGAGATGATGATAATGATGGTGGTTTAATACTTTGGCTACTAGAAAGCATTGGTGGGTTTGAAATTAAAAGATTTGTACTTGATTTTGATGTAGCAGTGGTAATAGTTGTTTTTGAAAATGATGATGATTTTGATACAGAAATTGGTGTAAAGGATGATGATGGTGTATTGTTGGTTGATGTAGTTTCTACAGATGTTGTACTTGAAATAGATGAAGATGATGAGGTTGATGATGATAAAACTGGTGATGATAAAATTGGTGATGATAAATCTTGTGAATCAAAATCTGGAATTGGAATAAGTGTCATTGGAGTGCCAACTGGTGGTGGAACAGCTACAATTTCAACATAGGATGCTGGGAAATAGCCAATTTTACCATTTAATTCACCCTTGAGCCAACCTTCTTCTGATTTTATATCCAATAATGTAATCTTATCATCTTTTTTAAATGGTAAATGCCATTGGCCACTTGCTTGATATGGATATAAAGCTGTAGCATATAAGTTTTCTTCTGTATTTTCGTTTGTTGTTTTTTGTATAGATGGTGTTTTTGGAATTAATGCTGATGGTACGTCCTCTGATGAGGATGTTAAATGACCTGTTAACTAAATTAAAAAAAAATTGAAAAAAAAAAATTAATAAATTGGAAAAATAAAATAAAATAAAATAAAATAAAAAATTTACCTTTGCAATAAAACTAAATTCATCGATTAAAGTTTTAATAATAGTTGTAACATTTGCTGAATCTTCCATAATTTGTGTTAATGTTTCTTTTTGTGGTCTGAGAATATTTGGAGCAAAAACAGTAGCTAAATTTTGACTTGTCATTTTATTTACTGAATGACTTAATGATATTTTATTGAGGAAACCCATAAGATATAAAACTAAATCTCTATTAACTTTAGGTAATCCATATATTAACATTCTTAAATGTAATGCTCTTAGTAAATGATCAGGATTTCCTATAATAAAAAAAAATTAATAATTTGATTGGGATTTTTTTTTTCATTTTTGTGATAAAACTTACTTATAACTTTAATAAATGTTGAATAATATCTCCAAATAAACAAAGGTTCTGGTAATTCTCTTAAATAAAGTTTTAAAATGCCTGCAATTGAATGAACCTCTGAAGATTGGTATTTACTTAAATCGACTTTTCCTTCATTAAAACTCTTTTTTATTTCTTGAATTACAGTACCATTGCCTGGAATTCTAAAAATACCCTCTTCATTTATTGCATTGTTTTTATCTAACCACTCTACAACTTCTTGTACAATTTTTGGTATATCTGCTATATAATTTGGTTGATTTTGACTTGTGACAATTTGTTCTAAATCAACTCCAAATATTTGGGAATTTGATAATTTTAATTGTGACATTTTTCAAAGTCTATATATATTATTGATTTAAAAAAAATATTTAAATATTTTCTTTTTTAAAATATTTATTCTCTATTACTGTTTACTTCTTTCTTCCTTTCAGTTATTCTTTGATGATTTTTTTTTCTGTAGTTTTTTTTTGGTTTTTGGTTTTTTTTTTTTTTTTTGATTTTTTTTTTATTTTAAAATATTATTTTTTGAAAAAAAATTTTGGTTATTTTTAAAATAAAAAAATTATAACCAATTAAAAAATGAAAAATAATAAAAAAAAATGTTGGATTAGTATACAAATATTTATAAATTAATGGGGTATTTAGTCTTTTTTTTCTTTAAAAAAAATAAAATAAAATAAAATAATAATCAAAAAAAAAAAAAAAAAAAAAAGAAAAAAAAAAAAGTTAAAAAAAAAAAAATTAAAAAAAAAAAAAATTTTTACAAAATAATTATGTGAAAAAGTTTTTGATGAGATGCGAGAGAGTGCAATTGATTGAAATGTGTGTTAAATATTTTATAAAAGTAAAAATTATCATGAATGATTATTATTAGAGTTTGTGTGTGGATTCTATTGATAGATTTTTTTGTTTTTGTTTTGGTTTTCTCTTTTTTTTTTTTTGAGTGATATAGGTTAATCTTTAATTATTATTACTATACTGTTATTATTTGTGTTTTTTAAAAATGATTTTAACACATAGGTTGAAAAAAAAAAAAAAAAAAAGTAAAAATAAAAAAAAGAAATAATTATTTAATGGTGATGTTATAAATTTTGTTTTTACCCATATGCTTTAAAAAAAAAATATTGTTGACTATTGAATAAAATAATATTTTGAATTATTATTTGCTATTTATAATTTTTGGCTATTAATATGGTACAATTATTTATATATATCTAAAACTGGGTTACGAAATTGTATATGAAAAAAAACTTTGCGATTAACCTCTAAAAAAAAACCTAGAATAAAAGATTTTTTTTAAAAAAAAAAATAAAAAATAAAAAAAAAAAAAATAAATAAAAATTTGATTCAGTTATTGGTTAAAAAAAAATCAATCACTGATAATTTTTTTCGATTTGGCTGAATATATTTTTGGAGTGAACCACAAAAAAATATGATGAAGATAAGATTGACACGATTTTTTTTAAAAAAAAACTATTTACGATGATATGATTTTACCTTTATAAAATTATTTCTTTATTTTATAATTCTATATATATATATGATTATAAAAAATAATTTTAAGTTATTATTTCATCAAAAAAAAAAAAAAAAAAAACAAAAAAACAAAAAAACAAAAAAAGATTTTAAAAAATAATTTATGGTGGATAATTTAATAAAAAACTGTTTTATTGTTGTATTTATTTTTAAAGAAAAAAAATAATAATAAAATAAATCACACAAAACACACCCACACAATAAAAAACACACATTCAAATATCTCGACAATAATGTTTGTTTTTTGCATATATAATATAAAAAAGTGAATAGATGAGTGAAAAATGAATTCAAAAAAAAAAAAAATTGAGAGAAAAAATAACAAATAATTTATTAAAAATAATTTTAATAAATAATATTTCACCACAGCAAACACATTCACCCCCACTCTAAAATTAAAACAAACACGTTCAAAAAGATAGATACCCACAGCAATTAAAACAAAAAAACACACCGGCACATAGATAAAAATAACACCCCCACAAAATAACCACCCCCTTTATATTTATAAAGTGACAAATTGTTGTATAATAATAATGATAGTGATATTAAATAAAAACACAAAAATAATAAAAGTTTTGATTGTATATATAAAGCATATATTTATATAAATAAATATTTATAAATTAAAATGTACATACATGCACAATATTTTGTATATCGTTGATTAAATGTTTTGGTTTTATTATTTTTATAATTATATGATATTATTATATTTAATTTTTAAAATCATAATAAAAAAAAAATAAAACTAAGAATAAAGTTTTAAAAAATATTTAACAAATATTTCTCTTTTTGATTAATAGACCCTATCATTAAAACATTTTAAAAAAATGATTATAATGATTTAAATAGGGCAGTTAAAGCTGTGTGTTTTTTTTTTTTATGTGGTTGTTTAATTTAAAAATAAAAAAATGTGATGATAGGGGTGACTTTTTTAATAATGGTGTCATGATTTTCCTTTTCTTTTAAATTGTTGTTATTATTATCACATAGATTATTATTATTTTTAAATTTCCAAACAATAAATAAATATAGTGTTACATAAAAAGACGAAATCTTTAAAAAAGGAGTGAAAAACCTAAAAATAAAACAATAAAAACAATATTTTTATAAAGGTGATTTAAATCTGATAGAACAAATATATATTATTTAAAGAACAAATATTGATTTTGATTCTAAAAACTTTATATTTTTACCTTTTATTTTAAAAAAAAATAATAGTTTCTTGTTGATGATAATGAGCAATATTGCTTTTACCTACTGCCACTAATTGATTTATGTATATATTATATATGGCTAAAAATTATAATGATTTTGATGATGAGGTTGATGTTGGTAATAATAAATAATAGTGATCTATTTTTTTTTTAATAAATAGAGAAAAATAAACTTTTTATAAATATATAAATATAGGGTTGAAAAAAAAATTTATTTATTTATTTATTTGTTTATTTATTTTTTATCTGATTTGATTAAGCTATTATAGTACAAAAATACAATCTTTTTTTTCTCTAAATATTAATAAAAACTGGTTGTTTAAAAATCGTATAAACTAAAAAAAAAAAAAATGCGGTTAATTATCTTTTTTTTTTTTTTTTTTTTAATTTTTTTTTTTATAATTTTTTATAATTTTTTTTTTCTTTTAAAATCTGCTAAATAGGCTATGAATTTCGATTATTTTAGATTCAGATTGTAGATTTCAATAAAAAACAATGAATTAAATTGATATACTTTATAAATTACCCCTTTTTTTATTTTTTATTTTTTTCATAATTTTTATTTGAATTTTCAACAAAATTGTCCATATTCAATTCATTGCGGAATTATTTAAATCCAATGTTTTCATTAAAAAAAAAAAAAAAAAAATTATTTTATTTGGTTTTTGATAATGCATAATCACTTTTTAATTATTGTAAATTTTTTGTCTTTAATAAATAGAGTTATTTTTTTATTATTGTTTTGATCTACTAATATATTTTTTTTTTGATTATTTTGGTGGTTTTGAAAATTTTTCGGTTACCATCATTTTTTTTTGGGTATTAAAAATTTTTATTCTTTTTTTTTACTAATTTTATAGTTTAATTAAAAAATTGATTATTTTTTAAATTAGGTTTTTATTTGCTATTTTTATTGCCCAATTAAATAAATAAAATAAAAATGCCATTATTTTAATTATTAGGGGGCACTTCTATATAAATATAAAATAAAATTTTTTTTTAAATTTTTTTTTTTTTTTTTAAATTGAATTTAATTTTAAATTTTTTAAAATTAAAAAAAAAATATATTAACAATATATTCACACACCCTTACAAATAATTCAAACACACATATTAGCATCTCAATCATTATTCAAACTATTTTTTTTTTTTTTATATCTTGTTAGAAAAGGTTATAGAAAATAAAGGCTAAAAAACACACACCCACACCTCCATATATTAAGAAACCCCCCCCTAAAAAAAAAAAAAAAAAGTATTGTAAACAAATGTTATTTTTGGTTAACAATAAAATTTTATTTTAATTTTTATTTTATTATTATTTTGTTTTTTTTTTACCTTTCTTCACTCATTTAAGTAAAAAAAAAAAACCAGTTGTTTAAAATATTATTTTTTTGTTTATAGATATAAAAAATATAAAAGCACACAAATAAATATTAGTTTTTTCCTTTTTTTTTCTTTTTTTTTTTTCTTTTTTTTTTTGTATATATTAATAATAATAATTAGTTATAGATATAAATAAACTAATCAATTAATAATAATAAAGATAAAATTTTAAAAATGGTTAATAAATCTTTATTAAGATTTATTTGTTTTTTATTGTTTTTAAAATTAGTAGTATCAGTTCAAATAAATAATTACCATATTGAAATTGATAATGAGGAGGCCACAGATAAATATTTAAAAAATATTATAAATAAAAATGAAAAAAATACTATCAGGGATTTCCACTATCAAGTAGAAAAAGAAAACCAACAACAATTTTATCAATATAATAATGTTTTAGACAACTTAAATGACATTAGCGGCGGTGATGCAGTTAGTCAAATTAAAACTGTCTATGGGTTAATTGAAAGATTGTTCAATTTTGAAATGACCCTTTTCTTTGAACTAAAGATCAGTAATACACAATATTCAAAAGGCCAATACTATTATATTTCAACAGACGTCATAACTTCCCAATTATCAAACTCATCAACTGTTATTGTCCATATTACTGCTGATAATGGTGTAAATTTAGCAATGGGTCTCCAACACTATTTAAAATACTACTGTCAGTGCTCATATAGCTGGAATGGTGACCAATGTGCTATTCAATCTTTTGATCAGTTACCACCAGTCCCAGAGCCAGTTTTGGTACCAGTTGTTTCAAATTTCCGTTATTATATGAATGTATGTACCTTTGGCTACTCAACAGTATGGTGGAATTGGTCTAGATGGGAGCGTGAAATCGATTGGATGGCTCTTAATGGCTACAATTTACCATTAGCATTCGTTGGTCAAGAGTATATCTGGTATAAAGTTTTCTCACAAATTGGTCTATCTTTCGAACAAATCACACAATGGTTAACCGGTCCTGCTTTTTTACCTTGGAATAGAATGGGAAATGTCAATAACTGGGGTGGTCCTATCACTATGGACTGGTTAGAAAAACAAAGAGATCTACAAATTCAAATACTAACAAGAATGAGGGCCTATGGTATGAAACCAGTATTGCCCGGTTTTGCTGGCCACATTCCAGGTGCTATTCAAACTCTTTTCCCAACTGCCAATGTATCAATATTATCAACATGGTGTGAATTCAATGGTACCTTTTATTTGGACCCAAGTGACCCATTATTTGGTAAAATTACTCAATTATTTATTACCGAGTTAATTGGCGTTTTTGGTACTGATCATTACTACAACTTTGATCCATTCAATGAACTAGCACCACCATCATCTGACTTAGGTTTCCTTAAACAAACATCACAACAAATGTATAACAATATGTTAGCAGCTGATCCAAAAGCAGTTTGGGTACTTCAGGGTTGGTTCATTGTAGATTATCCAGAATTTTGGCAAGCTAATCAAACTCAAGCATGGTTCTCCGGTGTCCCAATTGGTGGTTTTATTGTATTGGATCTTTGGAGTGATGTTGCACCAGCATGGAACATAACTGAATATTTCTATGGCCACTATTGGCTTTGGTGTATGCTACATAACTTTGGTGGAAGAAGTGGTATGTATGGACGTATTCCATTTATTGCTACCAATCCAATCATTGCTCGTTCTTTAAGTGATAATATGATGGGTACCGGTTTAACACCAGAAGCAATCGAGCAAAATGTAGTTGTATATGATCTAATGAGTGAAATGGCTTGGAGATCAACAGCACCAGATTTAGAAGAATGGATAACACAATATACAAATAGAAGATATGGAAAGATTATGCCTGAAGTCGTTGAGGTATGGATGAGTATGGTTGATACAGTATTCAATGCTACTGCATACTGGGCAAGACGTAATATGGGGGCACCAGAAAGTTTTATTGCCCTCAGACCATCAATAAACTTTGGTGATAATGTTTTCTACGACCCAAGTGTAATGTTCAACGCATGGCATGTATTTTCATTGGTAAATGACTCATATGTTATATCAACTGAAACATTCCAATTTGATATCAGTGAAATCACAATGCAAGCATTAAGCAACTTTTTCATGGATACCTATTTCAATTTGATTAAAAGCTACAATGTTTCAGATATTGAGAGCTTCCAAAGAGAATCGATTACGATGATGGAAACAATCAGTTTTATGGATTTAATAGCATCAACACAACCAGAACTTCAATTGGGTGTTTGGACATATCGTGCAAGACTTTGGGCTTATCCAGATAATGAAACCCCATCACTTCAAAACAGTAGTAACTCAGCAACACTTCCATACGAATTTAATGCACGTAACCAACTAACTTTGTGGGGTCCTTCCGACTCTGTTCTTCATGACTATGCATTCAAACTATGGGGTGGTTTAATCAGTGATTTCTATGGACCACGTTGGAACCTATTCTTAAAAACACTTTTACAATCTTTAGAAAACCGTATTCCATTCGATGCAAACAATTTTATTTCAAATGTCCAAGCTTTAGAGCAACAATGGGTATTAGAATCAACAATATACCCAATATTACCATTTGGTCAAGGATATAATACCTCAAGATACATTCAATCACAATTACAAATCTTTTAAATTAATATTTAAATAGTAAATGAAAAATAATATTTTTTAAAATTTCAACTTTTACTTATATTATAATTGTAAATAAAAATAAATTAATAAAAATAATAAAAAAAACCAATGATATTGTTTATTTACATTAATATTGTAAGTATAATTTAAAACATTTATTTATTTGTTTTATATTAGCAATAAAAAAATAAATATATTTAAAGAGTGATTGTGTGATTGTGTGGTTTAGTGGTGTGCACACCAATGTGGGTGTGTCTTTTTAAAATTAATATTGAATTATTAAAAATAGATCATTGAAAATAGTATCAACAAATAAAAAAATTGTTTTTAGGTTTTGTTTTTTAATATTAAATATTAATTATATTATACAAATTTAGAATTATGTACGGGTATAAGAATATAAATATACAAACACATTCTTTTTCAAACATTTAAAATAAATATGTGTGTTAATTTAATTTATTTTAAAATAATTTTTATGTGGGTATATATTAAGGTGTGTGTTATAAGAGTGTTTTTTTTTTTTTTTAATTTGATATATCCTAAAAAGTGTGTGTGTTTGTGTGTACTCCACCCACTCTTTAACACACCTCAATAAAATAGTTATTAATTTTTTTTTCAATAATATTTTTTTCTTTCTTTTTTTTTTTTTTTTTTTTTAATAATTATTATTTTTTTTTTTATAATATTAATTTTTATACTTCCTATACATATTATTTATTAATTTTTTTCTACACTTTTAAATAATTTTTTTATATTTTATTTTTTATTTATTTTTTTTTTTAATTAAAAAAAAACAACTATAATTTTTATAAATATTAATTAAAAAAAAAAAGTAAAATATATAGAAATCAACACTTATTAAAAGGAATCATCAGATAAAATAGGAAGAAATCAAAAAGCAAATTCATAAATAATAATATTACAACAAACAGTTATAAATTAAAAGTAGGTATTGGTTTTTCGTTTTTTTTTTTTTTTTTTGTTCGTTTTTTATAATTTAATTTTCAATACAGTTTTTATAATTAAAAGAAAAAGAAATACAGAGATAAAATATTTAATATAGGTTTATCAAAAAAAAGAACCATAACGAATATTGAATTTTTTTTTTTTCAAAACCAAATCTCCTCAATCCTCTCACAATTTTTTTTTTTTATTATTAAATGAATAAATATAAAAAAAAACAATTTATTTATAAAAAAAAATTAAAATAAAAAAAAAAAAAAACTTTAAAAATTTTTTTTTTAATTTATTTTTTTATTTTTTATATTTGTTCATTAATTTATTTTTTTCCTTTGTGTATAAATAATTTTTTTAAAAAATAAATTTAAAACACACACACTCTCATTATTTTATCAAATAATAATAATCACATATTTTTATATTCAAACAATACATAATTTTATATTTATCTTTTAATTTCTTTTGTTTTAATAAAGAAAATAATCACTAATTAGTATTTTTTTCATTATAAATTTTTATTAATTTTTTAAATTTAAAAAAAATAGAAGCTTATATATTAATATATTTATAAAATAAATCAAGATGTCATCAGCACTTTCAAGTCAACCAACCAAAAGAAATGTTAAACTCGATGATATTTGGCCAGAATTAGAGGAAGGCATTTATAAAATTATAACTGATTTATATAAAGGCTTCCCAAAGAACAAATGGATGGCTTTATATACGTAAGTATTCATTAACAAGAATGATACATATGTTGTTTGGAATTCAATACTAATATAATCACTTTATATATTTTTAGTTATGTCTATGATTATTGTGCAGCATCACAATCAAAAACCACAACAAAGGTAGGAATGCCAAAACAACAAGCATCAGGGGCCAATTATGTTGGTGAAGAATTATATAATAGATTAAATTTGTTTTTAAAGAAACATATGGGCACAATTTTAAAAGTTACAGAGACAAAAATGGATGAAACCCTTTTAAACTACTACTACACAGAATGGGATCGTTATACATCAGCCATGAAATATATCAACAATATTTTTCAATATATGAATAGATATTGGATCAAAAGAGAAATCGACGATGGTAAAAAAGAAGTGTATGAAATTTTTATTGTAAGATATTTTTATAACCTCCAAAAAAGATTTTTTTTTTTTTAAAAATTTTAATTTTTTTTTAATTTATCATTTTGCTTATGCACATTTTAAAATTAATATAGTTATCATTAGTAATTTGGAGAGATTATTTATTTACACCACTAAAACAACGTTTAACCAATTCATTATTGGATATCATTGAAAATGAAAGAAATGGTTATCAAATCAATACCCATTTGGTTAAAGGTGTCATTAATGGATATGTCAGTTTAGGATTAAATAGAGAAAAACCAAAAGAAACCATTCTTCAAGTTTATAAATCTGGATTTGAAGAATTATTTTTACAAGCAACTGAAACCTATTATACAAACGAATCATCAAAATTCATCTCTGAAAATACTGTAGCAGAATATATGAAAAAAGTGGAAACTAGATTAAATGAAGAGGTTAAAAGAGTTCAACAATATCTCCATCCAAACACAGAGTCTGAAGTAACTATCGAAATAAAAAAAAATAAAAAAAAAGTATAAATATAATTTTATTAACATGATTTTATTTTTTAATTATTATAGTTAATTGCAAAATGTGAAAAAGTTTTAATTGAAAAGCATGTAGAAGTTATTTGGAACGAATTTCAATCGTTATTAGAAAAAGATAAAATTTCAGATTTAACTCGTATGTATTCATTATTATCAAGAATTCCAAGAGGTTTGGAACCATTAAGAGCAACTCTAGAAAAACATGTCCAAACTGTTGGTCTTCAAGCTGTATCGTCTATAGCAACCAACGGTGGCCCAATTGTAAGTTATAACTTTACAGTACTGCAAAAAAAAAGTTTTCTAATTAATATTTTTTTATATTTTTTTAACAGGAACCAAAAGTTTACATTGAAACACTATTAAAGGTTTTTAAAAAATACAATGATTTAGTAACAGGTGCATTTAGAAGTGATACAGGTTTTGTTGCTTCATTAGATAAAGCATGCAGAAGATTTATAAATGAAAATGCAGTTACACAAGCTGCCAAATCATCATCCAAATCACCAGAACTATTAGCTCGTTTCACCGATTTCCTTTTGAAGAAGAGCCCAAATAATCCAGAAGAATCAGAAATGGAACAAATCTTAAATGATGTAATGATTGTATTCAAGTATATCGAAGATAAAGATGTTTTCCAAGATTTCTACTCTAAAATGTTGGCTAAGAGATTAATTCATGGTACTAGTACTAGCGAAGATTTAGAGGGTACAATGATCGGAAAATTAAAGTCAACATGTGGCTACGAGTATACCTCTAAACTCCAAAGAATGTTTACCGATATGTCATTATCAAGAGAGCTATTAGATCGTTTCAATAACCATATCGAACAGGTAGAAAGACAAGCTCTCGGTATTGACTTTAGTGTATTAGTATTAGCAACCGGAAGTTGGCCACTTCAACCACCATCAACAAACTTTTCAATACCCAAAGAGTTACAAGGTTGTGAACAACTCTTCCAAAAATTCTATCAAAATCAACATTCTGGTCGTAAATTAAATTGGTTACACCATCTTTCAAAAGGTGAATTGAAAACTAAATACCTTCAAACTAGTAAGAGTGGTTATACTTTACAATGTTCAACTTATCAAATTGGTGTTTTATTACAATATAATCAATACGATAGTTTAACTGCTGAAGAAATTCAAGAGTCTACTCAATTAATCGATTCTGTTTTAAAAGTTACCCTTACTTCACTTACAAAATCAAAAGTACTCATTGCAGAACCACCACTTGATGGCGTCGAAGAACTCTCTAAAACCACCAAATTTGTATTAAACAAACAATTTAAAAACAAAAAAACAAAAGTCTTCATCAATGTTCCAGTACTCACTCAAGTTAAAGAAGAGATTGATTCAATTCACAAAACTGTTGAAGAAGATAGAAAACTTCAAATTCAAGCTGCAATCGTTAGAATTATGAAAATGAGAAAACAATTGGCCCACAGTAGTTTAATGTCTGAAGTAATCTCTCAACTCCAAACTAGATTCAATCCAAAAGTTAATGTAATAAAGAAATGTATTGATATATTAATTGAAAAAGAATATTTAATGAGAATGGAAAATAGTAAAGATATGTATTCTTATATTGCATAAAATAATAAAATAATAATAATAATATTATTAATAATAATAATAATAATAATAATAATAATAATAATAATAATAATAATAATAATAATAATAATAATAATAATAATAATAATAATAATAATAATAATAATAATAATAATAATAATAATATAAACAATAACAATAATAAATATTATATTATATATAATATTTATATAATGATAAAAAAAAAATACAATTGTCAATAATTAATAATACCATATCTCATTTCATCTAACCATTATCAAACAAAAAACAAGATAAATCAAATAATAAATAAAATTTTATTATTTTTTTTTTAAAAATTTTTTTTATATAAATAAATTTTTTGATTAAAAAAAAATATGCAATACTGGTTATTTTTATTTTTCATATTCTTTTTCTTTTAGCACAAACAAAAAAAAAAAATTTCGTAAAAATAACTTTCAGACGAAGGTGTCTTCATCTAGATAGGTGATTGTTTAATTTTTTTTTTTTAATTTTTTAAAAAATTTTTTTTATGACGGTTTCCACCTATTTTTTTATTCAAACCCCCCCCAAATAATTTTTTTTATTACTAAATAAATTAATTCATTATTATAAACTATTTTTTTTTGTATATAATCAATATTTTTTAAAAGTAAATCATTGTTTATGTTTGTTTATATTTTATTTACAATAATCATTACCCCAACAATTATATAAACATTTAATAAAAAAAATAAAAAAAAAAAAGATATTTTATAAAAAAAATTAATTTTTTTTTTTTTATTTTATTTTTATTTTATTTTTTTTTTTTCTTTTTTTTTTTTTTTATTAATACCATTTTTTTTTTTTATTTTTACTTTGAAAAGACAAAATATTGTACTATTATTAAAATAAACATATTATTTATTGTTTTGTTTAATTGTGTTAATTATTTCAATAGAACTTAATTTCTCAACACTTAACACACCAACCCAAAGATAGACAAATATTTAAAATTTAAAAATTAATTTTTATTTATCTTTCCACTTAAATAAATAATATAAACAGCTAATTATTAAACACACATAAACATCACCACACTACCACCCAAACAATTATAATATAATAACGACAAATATAATATTACTTTTTTAATTATTAAAAATAAATAGAAAAAAGAAAAAAAAAAAAATTTATTTTTATTCTCACCAAACATAAAAAAATTATAATATAACATAATATAAAATAATATAATATAAAATAATAAAATAAAATAAAATAATTATTAAATTTTATTATTAAAAATAATAGTATAAAAATGACAAAAGAGATGAATAATCAATTATTGGGTAATTTATGTGCAGCATGGGTGTCAAGAAAAAGATATAAACAACTTGTAACAAAAGAAATAAACAGAGATAAAGTTGCTAAGGAAATTTTAGATACAGAATTAATTTATGTTAAAAATTTAGAAACTATTGTATCTGTAAGTATTAATTATAATGGTTATTTAATTATTTGTTTAGTTTTATATTAATTGTTTATATATTTAGCATTATTTAAAACCATTAAGAGCAATCAATCCCCCATTATTATCACCAAAATCAATCAATATTATTTTTGGACACATTGAAGATTTATTATCAATTAACAAAGAACTTTCTATTAAAATTCAAGATAAAATGACACAGTGGTATCAAAGTAAAAAGTTGGGAGAGATTTTTATTAGACTCTCACCATATTTTAAATTATATACAGAATATTGCAGTAATTACGATAAGGCTATAGCAAGATTAAAACAAAAGACGGAGGAAAGTAAAGATTTATCAATGTTTTTAAAGAAAAAGAATAGCGAGAATGGAACAGGTTTGGATTTAATCTCACTATTAATTATGCCAGTACAACGTATTCCACGTTACAAATTACTTTTACAATCATTAATTCAATATACTCCACTAGAATCACCAGACTATAAAGATGTGGATAAAGCCTTGGAATCAATTAGTGAAGTGGCTAACATTGTAAATGAATCAATTCGTGAAAAACAAAAAATGGAAAAGATTTTATCAATTCAAAAAAGATTCACTGGCGCATGCCCACCATTATTAGCACCACTAAGAACTTTTATTCGTGAAGGTTATTTAACTAAAGTTTGTAGAAAAGATCATAAAAAGCGTTGGTTTATTTTATTTAGTGATGCACTAGTTTATGGTACTAAAATCGAAACTGTAGGGGCTCCAATTTATAAATTTCATCGTTTATTACTATTACATGGTTCAAAACTCTCGAAACTAGATGATAGCAGTATGTATTTGTTTTAAACTATACTATAGAAACTAATTACTAATTATCTTTATTTTTTAAAAAATCATGTACACAGAATTTAAAAACTCATTTCAAATTATTCATTCAATTAAATCATTTACTTTAATTGCAGAAAGTGAACAGGAAAAACAAAGTTGGACAAAATCAATTGAGGATGCTCAAAACTTTTTATCAAGTAATGAGGGCTCAATTACAAGAATGAATAAACAATATAGCCGTATGTATATAATACTTTTATTTTATTTTTATTTTTATTTTTTTTTAAAATTTATTAATTTTTAAAATTTATAAAAACTTTTAGAACATGGTTCATCACTTAATATTTTAAAAAAAGAAGAGGTTACATTACAAAGTGCACCAGTTTGGGTACCAGATAGCGAAGCATTACAGTGTATGGAGTGCCAGATAAAGTTTACTACAATTAGAAGAAGACATCATTGTAGAAATTGTGGAAATGTTGTTTGTGGTAAATGTTCAGACCAAAAATGGACTCTAGATCAAAATAAAAAAGATGTTAGGGTTTGTAAAGCTTGTTACAATTATCTTTCGATTTCCACTTCAAGAACAGCAGAGTTCTTACAACAATCTTCATCTGCTAATGTTTCTGATCAAGTTCTTATTGCTCCACCAATGTTTACAAACACTGAGGATTCTAATGTGGATTCTGAAAGTGATTCAGATGACTCTGATACAATTTCAAATTCAAATTCAATGAATGATATACCCACTCTTCCAAATTTATCTACAGTTCAAATAAATGAAACTTCACCATCATTATCAGCTGTAAATAGTAATAATAAACCAAATGTACAGTTACCTCAATTACCATCAATGCCACCACCACCAAGACCAGTTTCACCAAAATTAACTTTAGATAATCCATCATCACAACTACCACCACAACTACCACAACTACCACCTCAATCACAACAGCCAACAATCACTCCAGCCACTCCAGCCACTACAGCTTCACCTAAAGAAATTAAAAAAGAACCACCTACTCTTTCAAAAACAGGCTCAGGAAACACTTCATTATTAGATTTTTGTAAAACATATATCCAAAATTCTCCAAATGTTTCACCAGCTAAAGTAGAAAGACAGGGTTCATCAAATAAACTTGGTGGTAGCAATGGCAGTGTAAATAATTCACCTTCTATCTCTACTCGTAATGAGCATTTATCAACTATTTCAACTTCGTCAAGTAGTTCAAATTTTTCGACATCATCAAGTGATACAGTAGTATTACCTGAATTAAAACCAATAAGTTCAGATCCACTTATTGTTTCAATTACAAATTCCAATAGCACCTCAATGGGTTCCATTAAAGTCAATACATCACCTCCATCACCACCACAACAACACCAACAACCACAACCACCACAACCAACAAATAATATTCAGACCTCAACAATAAATAGTAGTACTAAATATGGTGTTTCAGTATTGCCACCAGTTCAAAATACTAATTTAAATAATGCAGATAATATAAATAATATTAATACAAATAATAATCCATCACCTCCATCATTACCACCAACTCCTAAACCATCAAATAAAGCACTACCACCAACCCCACCAACCAAAGCACTACCACCAACTCCACCAACCAAAAAACTACCACCAACTCCACCACCAACTCCACCAACACCAGTTTTAAATAATAATAATAACATTGATCTTCCACCAGTTATACCAGCAAGACCAAAATCAATTCATCCTGAAATTTGTACTACAGCAGCTAATAAACAACCATTTGTAAATTCAACACCACCTCCTCCACCACCAAAAAGAATCCATTCAGTTTTACCATCTCTTCCATCCAATTCCCCTAATATAATGAACAATAATGATTTTAATGCAACACCACCAGCCCCCCCACCAAGAAGAGTCCAGGTTCCTCTTCCACCAAAATAATAATACTGAATTTTAGCTAAAATCAAATAATAATAAATATATGTGAATAATAGCTATTATAATCAATAAAAATTATTCTATTTTTATAAAATAAAAATAAAAAAAAAACAAAACCTATTTATTAAAAAAAAAAAAAAACTCATTATTTTTATTTTTACTCCTATTTAATAACGAAAGCGAATCAATGGCAGAAACTCTTATGAAATCATTCGACTAAATTAGGAAATCTTACAAGTTTAATAATTATTTTAATTTTTTTATTTTTTAATTTTTTTTATTTTAATTTTTTTATTTTTTTGAATTTTTTTTGAATTTTTTTTTTGAATTTTTTTTTTTTTCATTTTTTAAAATAAAATTAATAAAAAATAATAGTTACAAATTATAAATTATTAATTAAAAAATATAAATAATTTTTTTTCCTTTTTTTTTTATTTTTTAAAATTTTTTTTTTTATATATATAAATAAATAATATATTTTTATAAATGTTTTTAAATGTCTTCACCACCTCCAAATAGTAGCTTAAACTATAGCTACGATATTTTAAATAATAGTTTTAGTAATATTACAAATACCAGTAGTAATAATAGTAATAGCAATAATAATTTAAATTTTTATAATAGCAGCAGTTCAGATAAAATATTCGGTAGTGGTTTAAAAGATAGTGGTAATTTTGATATAAACAATATAAATATGAATAATATAGCACCAAATAATATCAATACAACACAAACAACCGCACCCCCAGAATCAGGTCCCCCAAAATTATCTACAGAATCACCAAAGTTTATAATAAATGAGATTGGAAATATAAATGACGAGTTTATAGAATTACAAATCGATAATAACCATAAACATACCAATGAACCGGGATTTATAGAGAACCAACCAGAATTATATCAATATAGATTGGTATCATGTAAATATTGCAAAGAATTGGTTCACTTTATCGAAATCCCATCACATAGATTAAGATGTCAACAGGTTTTAGGGAAATGTAATAAATGTTTTATGGAAATGAAGTTTTGTGAATTTCAACATCACATCAACCAGTGTTTGATGAATTTTAGTATTGTTAGATATTGCGAAAGTTGTGGTGTAGGTTTAAATGCAATAACAGGACCAAAACATACCGAAAAAGTTTGTTTAGAAACAATTTTAAGTTTAAATTTATCAGCATTGGAATCCTCAAATAATCATTTAAATGAAGAACAAAAATTAAAAATTAAAAAAATTAAAAATGATTTATTATCATTAACAAATAATTTTAAAAAAAATAATAATAATAGTAATAGTAATAATAATAATAATAATAATAATAATAATGTGAATAATATGGGTAATAATATAACAGAGTCACATAATAGAAATATTTTTCCACATACCATACCAACACCAGTATCAACCAATTTAAAAAATAATAATGATGTTATGTTCCATGATGAATCAATACATGTTCAACCTTTAAAATTCCATTCAGAATCACCACCTCAACAACAGCAGCAACTACAATTACAAATTCAAACTAGAAATGAATCAATTTTAAACGACGACATTAAACCATATGCACAAAAAAATGATGATTTAACAGGTGAACAAATAAATCAATTAAAGTTAATTATCAAATCAACACCAAAAATTCAAAATAAAAAATGGGCTCTTGTAAATCAAATTTGGTATAGTAAATGGGAAAAAGGAATTTATAATAAGAAGCAAATGGGAGAGATTTCAAATCATCATCTTTTAGATTCGATCAATGGTGATGGAGGTGGTGCAGGAGTTGAACAGTTATTAAAAAGCGATATAAACGAACATCAAGATTTTACTGTTGTACCATTGGAGGTCTGGAAAACATTCAAGGAAATATACGGTGGCTCTCCAGATATCATTAGAAAAGTGAATGACAAGGGTGAAATTGATTTACAAATTCCAATCGCATTGTTCTTTATTAAATCTTCTGATATAAAACATTGTTTAAATATAACCAAAAGCTATGCATTTTCAAATGAAACTTTTTATGCTTTAAAAAAGGTATGTCTGTAATTAAAAATTATCTATTCAATTTATTTTATTAATTTTTTATTTTTTTTTTATTTAAAAAAAAAAAAGAGGGTATGCAAATTATTTCATTTGGCTTTAAATGATGTTGAGTTATTCAATTATGATGGTGGTACAGTTTCTCAACCTCTACATTCTTTTTTACGTGTCGATGCTATAAAATTATATAATAATCAAATGGTATGTTAATTATTTTATAAATAATAAAATTGCATTTGAAAACTAATTTTTTTTTTTTTTTTTTTTTACAGGTTTTAGTTGAAGAAAAACAATTTCCATTAGATAAAATCGAGCCAATACCAACTAAAGAGTCTAGACCCTCCTCACATTCACCTAGTCCTCAAACAATTGATTTTAATGACCCTAAAATTAAAGATTTATTACCAAAAAACACAGATTACTCACCATTATTTAAACACGAGCCAACTCCATATGTAACAGACAAAGGTCATGTTTATTATAGTATCAAGGGCATGCCTATATACTATCCGTAAATATTTATTGCAAACTTATACCCAATGTCTATTTAAATTCTAATTGATTTTTTCTTTTTATTTAGAATGTACACATATCCATATTTACCACTATTAAACTATTCATTTATCAATTTTAATTCAGAAACACAAATTCCATTGGAGCAATATTATAAATATAAAGAAACACAAAATAGTCATAATGAAAATTTAGATCAAATCCAATCATTTTCTCTTGATGATAACGAAAGTAGCACTAATAAAAACAATAATAATATTAATTATAATAATAACACTAATAATATGAATAATAATAATAATAATAATAATAATAATAATAATAATAATAATAATATGAATAATAATATGAATAATAATATGAATAATAATATGAATAATAATATGAATAATATGAATAATATGAATAATATGAATAATAATAATGGTATAGATAATAGCTTAGGATCTAATCACTCTATTAATAGTAGCGATGAAATTGTTAGTCCTCCACTACCACTATTAGAATTGCCTCTAAGCACCGAACCTCCCCCACCTTTGGATTTAGAGCATCAAAGAAAGAGGTCCCAAATGAGACCTCCTGTTTGTAAAACTCAGTAACTTCCCATTAATCGCATTTAAATTAGTGTGTATTAGGTGAAAACTGATAACTAGTTTAAAACTGTAAATAAAATAATTAAAATAAAATATAATGTTACAAACCTTAAAATTTTCAAAATTTTATTTCTTTGCAACCAATTCATTAAGCTTTTAATTATTTTTAAATATTGAATTATTTTAGAAATATAGATTTTTTATTTTTATGTATACGTAAATCAAAAACTGTTTGGTTTTTAATTGCTCCCCTTATTTAATATGGGGAATTATTTTATTCTCTATTAATTATTATTTAAAGTCTTTTTTAAAAAGTGTGTTACCCATATCAGAAAATCTTATTTCAAAATATTTATTTAAAAAAAAAAAAAATTATAAATAATTTAGAAAAATTTAATTATAAATAAATACAAATAAAAAAACAAAATTTAATAAACATAAAAAAATGATCTTTAGTAAGTATAAATAAATATAAAAAATTAATTTGGTGAAAAATTTTAATAATTGAATAATTTTTTTTATATAAAGATTCAATTATTTCTCTTTCTAGTGCTGGATCCTCAATTAAATTAAATATGGCTTCTGGTTCAATTTCTGATACTTTTGGTGAAAATGGTGTTTCTTCATGGGGTAAAAATGAACAAAGCCACTGGGGAAAATTAAAAAAACATCACTCAGATCCACATAAAAAACACTGGGGTCATTAAAATTTACCCCTATTTTTTAATAATAATTTTTAAAAATAAAATTTGATATTATTTTTTTTTAAAAGATATATTTGAATTAATTTTTTAAAATTTATAAATTAATATGCTATATAAATTCTTGGAATCAAATAATCTAAATTCTTGGAACCAAAATTATATTACTGTTTTTACTATTTTTATAAAAATTACCTGCTAAAAGTGAATAAATAAAAAAATATAAAAAGCAAGGGTAGGAAAGCCTGGTTAAATCCGTGTGACTTAAGATCTCATCCTGTCGGTTCGCGAGTTCGAATCTCGCCTCTTGCAATATCTTTATTTTGATTTTATCTTCTATGTGATTTCGAATAAAAAGTATTTTAGGTAGATTGTAAGGTACTAAGATCAAATAATTAAATAAAATAAAATTTATATGAAATGTTTATGTTTTTGTAAAATTCGAAAACTAAAAAGTTTTTTTATTATTTTTATTTTTTTATTTTTTTTAAAAATTTATTTTTTTTAAAAATTCTTTTTGATGAATTAAAATAATTGTTAATTATTATTAATTAATATTGATTATTATTGAGTAATGATCCTTGTTCATTACAAGATATAATGAGGGAACGAATTTCCTACAAGTTACCGCTCCAGGTTCCAAACCCAGTCTCTGCAGGTTTTCCTCGAAATGTTAGACAAATATCCACACCAATCAAAACCACTACAAACTGATGACTTAATATATTAAGAATCATCTTCACTTTTAAAAAAAAAAAAAAAAAAAAAGGTAGTCCGAAATCACATGCTATTGAACAAAAATTTAAGAGATAAACTAGATTGGTTATTTCAACCCTTACTACTTCTTAAATTTTAATAAATAAAACACTATCTCACTTTAAAAAAAAAAAATAATAAAACACTGTCTCTAATAATATATTATATTATTAAGTAATTATTTTTTAAAAAAAAAAAAAAAAAACAAGAATTGACGTTATTTTGCCTAACTTATTGAAGTGTGGTAAACCCCATATAATTATAAAATACATACCAAATAAAACTGTAAGGTACTAAGATCAAATAATTAAATAAAATAAAATTTATATAAAATGTTTATGTTTTTATTATTTTTTATTTTTTTATTTTTTTAAAAATTCTTTTTATGATTATTTATTAATGTTGATTATTAAGTATAATTTTCTTTATCCTCTGTTTATATAGCTTGAGAAGTATTTCATTGAGAATTCTTTTTCTTTTATTATTTTCAAAGGTCTTCTCCTGGTAGTTCTTATTGAAACTGTTTCCTTGGAGTGAGTAAGCTTCGTTTTTGATGATTTCTGCACTTTTCCATTCAAAAGGGAAGTTTCATGAGGTTTTAATGTTTTTTTTGTATTAATTGCTAACCACGAATTTTTGACTTACCCCTTCAATAAGAATGGCGCAAAGGTTAACACGACTTTTAAAATTTATTTTTTTAATTTTGTTGAGTAATTTTTGTTATTTAATTTTTATTTGTAATTCATCGATAAAGTTTTGTAGCTTTCCAGGTGTATTGGTATTTTCACTCTAAATATATCTGAATTCCATATCTCGCTAAACTTCTCTAGTGTTAGATATCTCGGATTCTAACATATTATTAATAATATAATTATTAATAATGTTGTATAAATTTTTTAATTTTTAATTTTTAATTTCATATTTTATAATTTAATTTTTATTACAAAACAATATAAATAAAGGTGTTAATCACACAGTTAATATTTGTATAAAGGTTTAATTTACATTTATTTTTTAAAGAATTTTTAGTAATTTAATTTTGATTGTTATTTTTTGTTATTTAATTTTTTCCTGGTCATCTGCTTTTTATTTACATATATAAAAAGCAAGGGTAGGAAAGCCTGGTTAAATCCGTGTGACTTAAGATCTCATCCTGTCGGTTCGCGAGTTCGAATCTCGCCTCTTGCAATACGTTTATTAAGATTTCATCTTTTGGGTGATTTTATTAAAGTATAAAAGGGAGCAATGATCGCCAAGTGGTTGAACGAATTTCCTACAAGTTACCACTCCGGTTGACTGTGCCCAACTTGTATGCAGTGTGGTAAAACTCATATAATTAATTAACAAACTGTAGCAACTACCTGAAAATTGATAAACATCTAAATACAAACCATATTAGAAATCATCTTTTAAAAAAAAAAAAATTATATTTATATTTCCTCAACATTACTAATATTAATTCAAAAAAAAAAAATTTTTAATAATAAAATTTATATCGAGATTTATCTCTAATTTTTTTAACATAATAAAAAATAAAAAAATTTTAATTTAAAAAAAACAAATTTTTTTTTTTTTATATTAATTTTTTTAAATTTTTTATATTTATAAATTATATTTGTAATTAGTATAATAATAACACCAATAATATTATCAATATAATAAACCATTCAATAAAATATATAAAAATGGCAATGGTATTCGCTGCTGTGGCAGCTGTAGGTTTATATTTTCTTTTTAAGAGTAGGTTATCAGTCACCAAAGAAGAAATAATTGATGTGGACACTTTGCACAAAAAATTAGAAAAAGAAATAATTGAACTAAAAAAACAAAAAAAAAATCATTTGGTACAACCAACTGTTGATGATTTTTGTGATCAAATTTTTAAAATATGGTAATTATAAATAACATCTTAAAAATATATAGTAACAATAAAATAATAACAATAATAAAATATATTTATAATACTATATTAATATAAATTAATTTTTTTCAGTAATGAAGGTAAAAATAAATATACAATCGATTTACATGGTTTATTTGTAGCACAATCATTAAAATATTTAAATGAAAGAATTTATAATTTAAATAAAGAAAAATATACTGGTACACTAGTGGTGATTACAGGCAAAGGAAATCACAGTAAAGACAATCTTGCTAAAATCAAACCTAGTGTAAAGGAATTTTTAAAAAAGAATAATTTTCAGTTTAAAGAAATGGATGGTTCATTTTCAGTTTCTTTAGATAAATCAAAAGTTACCCTTTTAAAATAAAACTAATATTTAAAAACAATAATTATTATTGTTTATTAATATTATTATTATTATTATTTTGAACATATAAAACCAATTTAGATAAATAAAATTAAATTTTAAAAATAGTTTTTATATATATATATATATTTTAAATTTAAGCACCTTTGTTTTTATTATTAATCAATGGACTTTTATCTTTAATATCTTTAAAATTGACACAATTATCGAAACTTGATCCATCCAAAGCATTAATTAAATTGTTGACGGCCAACTCTGCAATTAAATAGTTTGTTTCTTTTGTGGCATTACCTGCATGGGGAGATAAAATACATGAGGTGTGGTTCATTAATGGTGATTGCTTTGGAAGAGGCTCTTTTTCAAAAACATCTAATGCAATACCAGCAACTAACTTTTCTTGTAATACTCTTTCTAAATCATCTTCTTTAACTGTTTTACCTCTACCCACATTAATAAAATGAGCTGTTCTTTTCATTTGTTTAAATTGTTCGTATGTGAAGAGATGTTCTGTTTCTTTACTTAATGGTAATAAATTGATAATGAAATCAGATTCTTTGATTATTTGTTCCAATGATGCATGTTTAGCATTGTAGTTCTCTTCGACAGATGGATGTCTAGTTCTTGTGTAATAACTAATATCCATATCAAAACCAAAGCAACGTTTAGCGACAATTTCACCAATTCTACCACATCCTACAATGCCCACTTTTTTATGATGGACCTCTTCACCAAACCAATTGGAGGTGACCGAATCGCCAACGCCATGTACCCATTCTCCGTTCTTGACTCTTTCATTACTTGTTACAATTCTTCTGGCAGATGATAACATCAAACCAATTGCCATATCAGCCAATGAATCTGATAATACATTTGGTGTATTCATCAATGCAATACCCCTTTTATTTAATATTTCCAATGGATATGCATCATAGCCTACAGTTAATGCTGAGATTGCTTTTAATGATGGTGATTTCTCTACTAGCGCAGTTGATATTGGCCAATTTGCTCCAATGATTGCATCTGATTTCATTACCTTGTTATTAAACAATTCTAAATTATTTTTATCGACAACTTTAAACTGTTCAACATTGAAACGTGAGTTTAATTTATCTAATAAAACTTTTGGTATATCTTTAAATAAAACAATATTATATTTTTTCATTATTAATTATTCACAAAAAAAAAAAAAAAAATCTTTTCAAATTTATGGGTTTTATAATATATTTAGAATTTATGTTGGTTTTATAGTATATTATCGAAACAATACTCTAATGAAACTTATTATTAATATGATGAAAAAAAAAAAAAAATTAAATTTAAAAAAAAAATTGCAAAAAAAAAAATTAAATTTAATTTAAAAAAATAAAAAAAAAAAAAAAAAAAGTCATACTCAATAAATTTAAAAGATAATAATCTTTAAACTATTATTAATTTAAAAATGGTTTTGATTAGTACACTTAATAATTTATAATTGTTTATTTTTAAAAATAAAATAAAATAAAAATAAAATAAGATAAAATATGAATAAAAAATAAAAATAATTTTGGAATAAAAATTTAAAATAAAAAATATAAAATAAAAAAAAAAAAATAAAAAAAAAAATAAAAAAAAAAAAATGGTTTGATTTTGTGTGAGCAATATAAAAAATTTGAAATTTGATAGATTGGTAACCTTTTAACAATCAAGCGTCGAAAATCTTGGAAGATTGGGGGAATCGATCGTTATTCAATTATATTTATTTTATTTTGGCCAATTGGGGAAGTTAAAAAAAAAATTTTAACTTTAAATTTCTGAAAAAAAAAAAAAATACAAAAAACCCCTTTTTAAAAAATATCCGAAAAAATTCCCCCCCCCTTGGTAAAAAAAAAAATGCTCCAGGCCACGGGTGGGTATTGGGAACCAATCCACCCTCCCCCCCCCAGAAATTTTTAAAAAAAAAAAGGTTTAAAAAAGAGAAAAATTTTTTTATTTTTTTTTTTTTTGTATTTGGGACCCCCACAATTTTTTTTTTTTTTTTTTTTTTTCCCCTTCCCAAAACGCCACAGCTTCCTTTGTAAAAAAATTAAAAC